AACGAAGTACAAGTAAAAGTACGTACTTTTTACTAGTACCGGCGGTACAAGTAACGAAAGTAAAAGTACTGCCATATATGCTAGGAAGTATACCACCACCAGAACACTAATTTACTTCTTTGTATACCAAGCAGTCACCTACCCAATCACCTTCTCCTAAACGCCAAAAGTCACAGTCGCCAAAAGGCAAAATAGAGAGATGAAGAAATCAGATGCCCACTGCCGCGGGCAAGAACTTCGCAGCGAAATATATCTAGTTTAGTCAGTGTATTTGCATGTGTACTGTATTTTTCGCGATTCTGACCTAAGAATTGTCACGATTGCTAACTCAATATTTGTTGGAAATCCAGTTTTTAATCATTTTCATTCAGTGCTATATTGCTCTTCTAACAATTCTAGGTTAATCTATTCTGTGTCCTGAAATTCAGGAGTTGAAAATGTGTGATTGATATGTATTTCACTTATTACTGTAAGTAATGCGTTATGTTTCGACATTAAGATTGTTTCATACTGTAAGAATTATGCTTTAAGCAATGGAATTCGTTTTAATGGTGTAGATAGATTATAATATTTAGGTAAATTACAGAGTTAATATACTGTTTGGCATTGCTTTTTAATTGACTCTCCCTAATGCTCAGCTCCCTTTTGATTCTGTTGGGGAAATTGGTACGGAGATATTTTTGCGTTGCTTTTAATTTTGTTGCAGATCATTACAACATTCAAATATCTTTTCATACGATTAGTTTCAGAATTTCGGCAGTACATCTCTTGAACGATATGGTGTGTTCCCGGCACCATTGTTATGGATGTTTCACAGTTTTGAACTAAATTTTAATGGCTGTTTCTTTATCGTTTCTTGATCAATTTAAAATTATTTGTATAATTAGTTTTATAATATATTTACAATGTCTCTTATAGAGGAAATAAAGTATTCAATTTATAAGAAAGTAAATACATTTTCTTTTTCTTCAAATTCGATGAGTATGTTTGGTTTATTCTTTATAAAACCATATAGCAGGCTATACAGGCAGTAATTAAAGAAGACTTTATAATCAAAGTTTTCGATGGTGTTTCATGAAAATCATAAATAAAACTACAATTCGATAAATATTTTTATATAAAATTAAGTTCTTGCATATAATGCAGCACAATTTAAATAATGTGATTAATGCATTCTAAAGGTTGATTTTATTTTACTCTATTTTATTTGAATCAAATATTGTCATAATAAAAAGCAAAAATCTTAAAATGTTTATTAAAAAATATTTTTTCAATTAAAAAAGAAATTATCGGGGACATTAAAATTAGATGATTACAGAGAAAAGCAGGATAGGAAAACAAATAAAAACTTTGGGAATAAATGTTTTTCTTCTTCAAAAAAACTATCAAATATTTTTTTGCAATTTAAAATTAGTTAATTAAACTATTGAAAATTATTTAACAAAAACTTTTTCAACAATTAATTATTCAATTAAAAATAACAAATTTCCACTTTGTTCCATAATTATGCTATCTAATGTGATAAAAAAAATAACTGCTATATGAATAAGCTTACAATACATTGCTACTATCACGCAAATAAATATTTATTAAATCTGGTATTAGTAGCGTATATATAATAGTGAGTTACTTAGCCTAGCTTACTTTTCTTTATAAAGCATCACAGTACTGGAATAAGTGAAAAGACTTAAAATGACAAATGAGACAAAGAATTAATTTCTAATGATTTAATAATTGATAGCGAAAAGTTACTTATTTTAACTCTATGAACAAGCACTACAATATGTTTATGAAAAATGCAACATTAAATAAAATAATAAACATTGAAAAATGTATACTATAATGTGTGTGCGCGTGTGTTTTATGTAAAGGAGTTTGGTAAAATCTAATTTTATAATTCTAAACAACTTTTGACTATTCGAATCAAATTTCATTAATCAGATACTACACAAAAAAGGATTATGATGCACAGCAAATCACAAATAAAATTAACAGTTTAACATTTACAATAGCTATTTTTTTCATAATCTAATAATAAATACAAGTACACATACATATTCTTAAATAAGATGATCAATAGATTTTGAAACACTATAGGTGCTTAAATTTGAAGACCTTTCGAAAAAATTAAAATCTCGAAAAAAACGTGTGTTGCATTCATAAATTAATAAAAATCACCCATGTCAAATTTCATTTCTTTAGTTACATTCTCGACTTTAGCATGTGTACCAGATCTTATCTTACTAGTGGGTCCCAGGTACATATGGTCCTAGTCCTGTAAGACCGGAGAGACCTGTACCGGAGCGATCTCATCTGCACCGCTGTTTTCTAAATTCCTGTTTAATTATTAGTTACTATTAAGGTTCGTTAATTGTTTTTCGTCAAAAAGATATTGTAATAATAGTAGGAAAAGTTGATTCTTTAAACACTTTACAATTTTGAAATCATAATTTTTAATTGCATATGTTGACCGGACAGATTTTTATACAAGATTTATGATTATTAAAAAAAGTAAAAATTACTTATTTACTGTTTAATAATTGAGAAACGGTTAATAGGTATAAGCAATTTCATCACAAAATATTTTGTGAATAAGGCTATATCATAAGATTACTCATCTACGAAAACAAGCACTTATATTAGTCTTAAGCCATTAATTTGGAATTATAATCAAAATCTAAATAGTAATAAGTGTAGAGAATGTTAAGAAAGAATGATGAATAAAGATCACAGACGGTAAATACCTTTAAGTTAAGGATAAACAAATATTTTACGGTTAAACAAAATATTGTATATCATATATGCTTTTACAGCATTTATTGATTTTACGCTAATAACAAACAGCGAAATTTGGATTTTTATATGAGAAAATTGAAAAATATATGATTACCTGTTTCCTAAAAATGCGCCGACAATAGTGAGAGACAGTTTTCATGCTATTATTTTATTGGGTAGACTATATTTGAGGGGGCCCCTTGATTCACGCCAAGTTGAGATTGCTTGATCGCCAAGCTTGGCGATGTTGAAACACAATCGTGATTCTGATTGGTTTAGATTTTAGCGTTATTTTTAAAGGTTACTTTTGCTTCTGGTCAATAAGATCGAAGGTATGTAGGCAGTCATAAAAAGGGACTTCCGAAAAAAATGTCACCGCCCGTCCAGTACCACAGACGCCATTTTCGATTCGTATTTCGCTGAATTTATGTGGCGACGAAGGTACACAGATTCTATTCATGATAAATTTAGACTGCTAAATCTAACTGCTATTAGAAAATTCTGTGCCTGAGGATATTCAAGCTTAATGAAGAAGTGATTTGTTTTTTTCCTTTTCTTTCTGTGCTTACTCCATTAATTCTTGGTCCCACAGTGGACTGATCGTTAAGACACGGTTCCCAGCAGATCACCGAAGTCAAGCATCACTAGCTACGGTCAGTGCGCGGGTGGGTGACCACTTGGATCAGCCTGCGTAGAGACCGAGGGCGTGCGGTATGGGTCCTCGTTAAACTGTTCTACCGTAAAGTGCTCGACTTCGCGTGCAGGTCGTCGGGCTACCGAAGTGGAGGTGCCATCCCCTCTGCAGAGGATCAAAATTGCGATGGCATGTCTTTGGATCATCCTCAGGGATGCTTCCCAGAACGTCGCCAATAGCCCATTGTGTAGCTCTAGTCCGACGTAAATGTACAACAACAACATTAATTTTTGCTTCGATTCAAAATGCCTTTTATTAGGTTTATTAATTTTGCTTATATTAGGTTCATTGCAATTTTACAAAGTTTTGGCCGATTTCTTACTGAAATTTTCCTACGTTTTATTGAAATATCATTATGTTTTGGCCGCAATTCCTGTTACCACGGTGTTCCGCGCAAACAAGAATAGCACCAAACATAAGTCGCCAATTTCGCCAAGGTGATTTTACGCTAATAACAACCAGCGAAATTTGGATTTTTATATATGAGAAAATTGGAAAATATATGATTAACTGTTTCCTAAAAATGCGCCGAGAACACTGAGAGACAGTTTTCATACTATTATTTTATTATATATTAATGTAAAATAGCTCCTTACACAACTTTTAGTGCCCCATAAAAAACGAGTACCACAATTCATCTATATCCTTTCTCTTACACCATCATTAGTTAAGTAAAATTTTAATGCACTAAATTATTAATAAAAAATCATTTTCGAAATTCTGTTTTAAAGCTCTCTTTAATGCGTTGCTTTAAAATTACTAGTTGGGAAGAAAAGAAATCAATTATTTTAACGTTAACTTCAACACTTTATCTAACATATTTTAGATTAACAATTTCGATCAAATATGCACCTGTTTGTACTACAATTTGTTGCCATTTTAAAGGTAGTCTCGATGTTTCTCTTATAGAAGTGACATAATGCTAATGGTGAAAGCATGTAAAGAATTGCCATATGTATAGAGTTCTGCTCTACGCCACCTATAGCCCATTTCAATCACCAATAACGATGAAAACGATGATGGTAGCAGTCAATCAGAAAGGTGTATTTGTTTAAAAAGTTCGTCAGCTAAACAGTTGAAAAAAAGTATGCAATTGATTAATTCAAAATACAATGATATGTTTTTGTCAAATAATCGTTATTATGCAGTATTACTTCATAAATTTTTTTATCTAATTCTAATTCAGGGGCTCTATCTAATTCATATTGTATTGGAATTAAATATACTAATTATATTTACAGACAATATTAAAATGGCAACTTAAAACAATTGGTTTATTGATAATGTTGTCTGCCTCCGGAAAGAAAAGTGAAACAGCATTAAAATTGTAATTTTATCTCAATCTTGTCAAATAATATTTTACAAATCAGCTTACATTTTACGTAATTAAAAAATAATCAATAAACTTCGCATATTTTCTCAGTTTTTAGAAGATTATCTTGAGCTCTTGTAATTTTCCTGTCAAACATCTAGTTTGAGGAATTATTTCTGTCTTATCATTACAGGTGTAAGAAATATGTTTCCCTGTAATCAATGTTCATATTAAAATATTTAGGTTCAATTTATACATACAACCAATTTATATTTATCGAATTCAGAAATATTTCTTATTAACATAGCGAGATGATAATAATTTAAGAGCTTCTTTGCTGTTTTTGAACTGTTATTGTTTATGGTAAAACCCTAAGAATAGTTAATACTTATAGCTTCGATTATTTATTACTGTCAAGTTTATTCTTATCACTGTTGAAAAGGATTCAGTCTGAAGTGAAACAAAATAAAAAAAATTGTATTTTGTCAGTTAATTGATAAATTTCTTTACATGTAAGTTAGTTTTTACATATGTTACAAACATGCTATCATTTTATGCAATATTTCTGAGGTGATACCAAATACTCAGCATAAACTTTTTTTCTCTGGAAATAGTTTTTAATGATTTAAACTTATCTTAGAAAATATGTTACACTGAAATATTCATTAATAATAAATATTATATATTATTATATGAATATTTCATATGAGTATTAATTTGCAGAAAATGAACTGTTTAAAAAGTAAAATATATTTCCAAAATATTTCTGTTTCAAATTTAATGTGACAGTGCAACCATTTGATTTAATTTTGTTGTTAAAAATATGTTAAAATTGAACTTGGAACTAAAAGTTTTTAGTTGGGAAAGTTTTCGTATCCATATTCGCAAGGTCATGGCAACTTCAGAGTAGCGGCTCGCAAGAATTTTTTTTTAAAAAAACAATAAGTAACATTGAAGTGGACCAACTCGAAGGGTATAATTCATAGTCACACTGGAGTAAATCTCTACCTTTTTTTTCTTTTTTCTAAAAGATTTACAAATTTAAAATCAACTTGATTCCTTGGGGATTGTAGTTAGTGGACCAGATTGTTATATGGAAACAATCCTCTCAAATTACATATGAATTTTCAATAAAAAAAGTGAAATTTCTAAGTTAAAGGTTTAGGTCTGTGTTGGTGATGACTAGTTTTTTACTTGATTCATCAGTTAATGGCTTCGAGCAAATTATGGTCACTAGTTTTTCTTCTGATTTTTTTAAAATTCAAATTGTGACAATACAGAATCATTGAGCATGATATGTTGACAATGATGAGTTTAAAAGTCAAACAAATTAATAAAATTTAGATTTTTTTTCCTTGTTCTAGGTTTAAATCAAACATCAGTTCTCTAGTTTACTATTATATCTGTATTTCTCCTACACTAAAACAACGAAAGTGCTCATTTCTTTTTCACAATAATAAGTATATAAGTTTTTATAACCGTGAAAGCGTAAACATATATGTTTACAAAATTCTGAATGAAATTTTTTTTTTCTCCTGTGGGTAAGTCTAAGCTGAAACAAAATGATGTATAAGTTTGAAAGAATTGAAGACCAATAAACAAAGTGTTCTATATTATATTTTAATTATACTTATACTGATTAAAAAATAATAATAATTATATTCCATGTTATTGATACTCATCGAACCATTAGTATTAGTTGTTTTGTTTAACATATTAAGTAGGTACATGGCAGTGATTACAGAATCGCTCACATTTAACGAATGAAGGGGCACTCCCTTCTAAGATTACAATTTTTCCCTCAATATTTGAGTAATTAAATTTACATTAAAAAAAAAATTTTTTTTTGTGTCTGAATTCTAAAAAATGAGAGAAAAAAAAAGCCTCAATTTCAAATGAGCCTTTACATTTTCTTGGTGAAAGCTATTACCAAATCATCACTTACTCATCTCCCACAGAGAAAATATATGTTCCTATTGCTGACTGATGGGGAAAATTCTTGGTTTGGTCAGAGCAAACAAAATCAGGGCTGGGTTTTTGCCGTCAAAAACTGGTTTTTGACATGACAGTGGTAAAAACCGTGTTTTTACCGGTAAAAACTGTCAAAAACCTACTGTTTTCTTTAATTTATGCCATATAGCGGATAATATATTATTTTCACGTAATTGCCTTTATAAATGAATGTTGTAAATGATTGCTATTGATTTTTCAACTATATACATGTATTCTTATAGAAGGATATACATTCATACAGAAATATTGTAATATACTTATTGAAAATAGTGATACTTACTTTTAGCATAATAGCTTGATTTGCAAAGGATTCAAAATTTTGCACTTCTTAATTGTTAGAAATAAACAAACTAAGGAAAGAGCTTGGAACTATTAATAAATTCAAGAACTAAAAAGAGTTTAAAATTTGGCATTACTTAAATATAGAATTAAGCTAAACAAAACTTTCAAAACTTGTAACTACTTACAAACTCTAAGTCAAGAATTACTGCTATTTTGTCAAGTTAAAAACTTTTATTCAGTTGAAAAAGCACTATAAACAAAACTGAATTACAAACAAAATTACATGTTTAGTAGTCGGGGTCACTGTGCCGAAGCATACGATAGCAAGTGACTAATTTTGCACATTTTTCATTGCCCAGTCGATTTCTAAGTTTAGTATAAATGAGTCCAAAATTTGAGAAGATTCAAAATTATTTTACCAAATACTTATAAATTATTTTACCAAATACTCAAAATTATTTTACCAAAACTATGGGTTTTTGACATGACGGTAAAAAACGTCATGTGTCAAAAACTTGCCAACCATGAACAGAATTTAAAAAAAAGTCAGTGAAACATATTAAAAAAAAGTCAGTGAAACAGAATGAAAAATATACCATTAAATGAGATATAAATAATTTACAGATAGACAATTTCTTTTATACATTTTATTTTAATTTTAAATTAATTTGAATCATGAAGTTAAATTGCAAGTTCAAATTCTTGATTGCCATTTTATGAGGTTCAGGTAATTCAAACCTGGTTGGTATATACATATATAGTACAATTTTTTCTCTTATTAGGAGTGAGTCCCCCCCCCCCCCCCCNCCCCCCCCCCCCCGCACACACTCTTGAGATACTTCTGCAGTCACTGGTACATGGGGTAAAGTGGGTATATGTTATTTTCTCATCTATTAAAACATCTATTTTCTCCTCTTAAATTGCGGTAATTTATATAATATTTTTGAGACATTCACTGGGATTGTGGCAAACATTTTTATATAAGTATTAAAAACTGATAAAAAATTTAATGTTTACGAGCTATTTTTTTATGATCAACTTATGAAGTATGTTAGTTAAAGCTATTGAACTTTTTTCTAATATCATTAAAAACTTATAAAAATAACTAATTTTAGTCCAGCCTGTTAGAGGGATATCTGAAAAACAGATTTATATAGCATTTGTATTGTGCATTTTGTATTGTACCTAATCTTTTTCAAATTTCAATTTAATTTTTGATATTTACTAATGTTAGAGCAATAAAATTAGTTTATAAATTTTATTTTTAAACCATTTATTTTTAAATTTCAGAATTTTTTTCAACACGTTCTCTCCTTTCAAAGTTGGTGAGACAGAGTTTATTCCATTGATTAATAGGCTAGAGAGAAAAATGTTTGGAAATTTGTGGTCTAAGGTAAGAAAAAAATTATCTTCAGAAAGAGTTTCTTTAAGCAAAATGAATTTTTGCCTTGTTGGAATTACAGAAAATTTAAGTTATATGAAATCATTATAACAATTTGTGCATAATTTTGACACCAATGCAATGTAATGGTATATATTTACAAAATTCTTTAATTATGTATTTAAATATTTTGTTTCTAAATATATTCTTAAGAAAATTGAAATAAATAATGTTATTATGTAAAAAGTTTTCTTTCCTGGGTTTATATATTTTTTAATCACAAATCTGATTATCATAATAAACAATACAAATGGGTATTTCCTTATGATTTATTAAAAACATTCAAGTAAAATTTTTAAAAAAAATTTTGAATTGTAAATTGTTAGGTAAATACTACTGAAATTTTAAATAGCTATAATAATAATACCATATTATTATTCATATTTACAGAAGATCTTTATAATGCAAACCTTAAAGCCTGGGGCTATGGGTTTTATGGAATTATGTGTTATATATATCATTTCACTTACATGGTGCGTAGCATTTTTTAAAGGTGCTTATATTCGTTTTTTTAAAAGCCCTTAAAGGTGCTTTTTTCAATGCTAGTGATTTTAAAAAGTGCTTAATTTCCCCTTTTTTGAAAATGAGATATTTTTCTTTACGATGTTGATTTTCGCCATGTATTATGCAAAAGTGGGCTTTTCACATTGTTCTATTCAACGTTATTCACAATTAATTCAGCCACAATCTATTTCTGCATACTGTTGGTTCATAGCGTATAAAAACACCAATCATTTTACATGTTTGATGAAATACTTGCCAGTCCGCATGTGCATATACTGAGCTGGGTTCGGTGAGATTATTGCCCTCTCATGTGCAGCTCTGCTGAATTTTGCAAGATATTCTCAATTTCATTTCTTTTTCCATCCTCTGATATCAAACTGAAAAATCTCTTGATCAATTTATAATGGCTAATATAATCAAGAAAAGCATTCTTTGTCAGAAACTAGTTATTTTATCATGATCATGTAAAGTCTTTGAAAATTATTTTACATTTTGTTAATGTACATAGTGCTTAAAAATATTTTTTGAGTGCTTAAAAAGTTCTTAAAAGGTGCTTGTTTTTTGTTGAAAGATTTGGTTACACACCCTGACTTTTCTTTAAAGTTACCTACTAAAAAACTAAACTAAACTCAGTGGCACGACAGCCCTTAGAGGGCCAAGGCCTATTGTGCCCATTCCAGTTTTCTTGGGCTCTTGGGTGCAGGAGCAGATGTTCCTGTCATGTGGTCAGCTGAACGCGGAACCCCCAGTGTTTAGTTCCCAAGCATGCTTGGTACTCATTTATCGACCCACTGAAGGAATGAAAGGCCGAGTCAACCTTGCCTGGCCCACGGATCTAACCCAGGACCTGTTGCACAGGAGCGCGAAAAACTAACACTCAGCCACCGGTCGTCAAAGTTACCTACTAAATATGGCAATATTTGTCTGGAACAGATCAATCTTAAAATGCTTTATAATAATTTTTAGATACAAATACTTAAAAACAACCAAATATGCACTTAACCTTTTGCTTAGGGCTGATACAAAAAGTGGACCAAAATGACAGTCTTCAGCATGCTAAACGCTGTAAGCAAACATTTAAGTATTTATTATTTACCGAAAAAAATTGAAATTTTCTGCAGGATTAGAACTAACAGGAAACAAATCAATCAATTTTGGTTTACATGCTTTTGAAATTTTAACTTCTTAACAAATATTTAAAAAAATAATGTAAAAAGTTAATAGTTCTTGCTTAGTTATTGAAATTTCTTAACTGCAAATTTCATTGTTTACCCCCACGAAGCTTGTGTGGTTCATGGAGAATTGCATTATATAGGTCTACGATACTAACATAGGCTGCCATTTTGATGTTACTTTTTTACGTCGCAAACCTGATGAACATGATGATAAATAAATTATAAATCCTAAATGTGCTTCATTATAATTCATATTCATGAAACTCAGCTTTGGACAACAGTTTTTTTTTATGCTCAACTGCACTTTATATACTGCTGAAAAAAATCCCATATTATACTTCAGTTACATATAAAGTCAGTAATTTTGGTTTGTTTAAAAACTAAAATTTTTATCCATTTGTTACTTCTAATTATTTGATGAGTTATTTAAAAAATTTGAAATGTAACTTTCATCCTCACCATAAGAGAGGAAGAATCTTTAAAAGGTTTGATCATCATAAGTTTTGATTATCTTCAATAAAATCAATAATCCATGTAATAAAAAGAATGGAGTTATCAAATCACTGCATAAAATTGTTACAAGTTTACATTTTACAGGGATTTGATTGGATTAATTGGTTAAACATCTGACCTTCTCATTGAATTTTCATATTATTACAAATCATTTTTTTTATTTTCACAAATTATGCCTAAATTTTCACAAAATAGGTGCCTTTCAGAAAAACCTAAACAGACCCCTGATGTACTTTTTAAATTCTCTATTTCATCTAGTCTTTAAATTTCAATCATGCATTTGTTCCAAAATGGTTGCCATGCATTCAAAGCTATGTATTATAACGAAAAATTATTTTAGTAAGTTAGAGCTCATATTATTACAAATCAATTGAAAATTGTTTGTTTTATTATTTATTATTAACAGTTTGTATTATATAATTGTTTATACCTATATCACAAGATTTTGTAATCAATTGTCATCTGCAGTATCTTTTTTTAAATATCTCCTTTAGCTTTTTTTTTTTTTTTTTTTTTTGATATGGGATAATTTTGTCTAACTGAACTGACTCATTACATTTCTTGAATACTAAACAATGGTTAAATCCATTGTCTTTTTCTGAAGTATTTCAGAAATTAACCCTTTTTTTTCTCCAGAAAATAAGTAAACGGTAGAGCATAGGCAGGGTTTGTTGATTTAAATCACTATTTAAATCATGATTTAAATCAAATGATTTTTTTAACAAAATCATTGATTAAAATCAAATGATTTTTTTTATATATATTGATTTTAAAAGTTAAAAAACAGTGTTTCAATTATTGATACTTTTGTTATTTTCTTATCTTAGTTTTAAAATTTATTTTAAATAAATTGCTATAAATAATTTTAGTTAACGAAATTACTTTCTTTCTTGATGTGTGTTAAATTCCAACACATTTGAAATTACATTTTTAAAACTCTATTGATTCTTGAGATTGAAAGTAGTACAGATTAAAGTAAACATTTAATGCTGTCTGTCTTAATATAGACTTGCATAGCTATAGAAAGTAATTAATAAACTTGATTTTTTTCAAAAAAAAAAAAAAAAAAATGAAAAAAATGTTAATTAAAATTCTACCTTTTGATTGAAAAAGCATGGAATTAAAATCTACATTATATTTTATTGATGTAGGATTAAAAATGAATATTTTAATATAAAAATATATAGATTAAATATTATTTATTTTTTGATGAATGATTACATTTCTAAACACGATCTGTTAAATTTATTTTGTCATTTTAAAAATAAAGAGGGAAAAAAAGAAATCACAATTTTAAATTGAAATTATGGTTTGCTAATTGAAACTTTGCTTTAATAGTTAAAGTACAGGGGTCTATCCAAGCCAAATTTACCTTCACAAATTCAACTTTAGGAAAAACTGTAGAATAATTTCACAAAATATTATTTCTTAAAATTTTATTTTTGTGTCTCGTAAGAAACGATAAATCCATATTTTTTACAATATTTTTGTGTTGAATTTTTAATATAATTTTTTTTTCTCCACAAATTATGTCTAAATTTTCCCAAAATAGGTTCCTCTCAGAAAAACCTAAACAGACCCCTGATGTACTTTTTATATTCTCTATTTCATCTAGTCTTTAAATTTCAATCATGTATTTGCTCCAAAATGGTTGCCATGCATTCAAAGCTATGTATTATAACGAAAAATTATTTTAGTAAGCTAGAGCTCCTAAAATATTGTTATTATATAGGTAGTTTTAATATTAATTTAATTTTGACTCAACATTTATAAACTATTTTTAATCATAAATTAAATTTCTTACCGTGTATTTGAATAAAGATAAAAAAAGTCTGATTTAAATAAAAAAAATCAGATTTAAATAAAAAAAATCACAAACCCTGAGCATAGGTAATACTATTGGTTGTAGAGAGTGATTGCATTCAGTACCTAAAAAAAAAAAAAAAAAAAAAAAAAAAAAAAAAAACATCAAGAATAAACTCAACTATTTCATTTGTAACAAAATGCCAGGTTGTCAAGAGGTTTTGGAAAATAAACTTTTGAAATGCTTTGCCATTATGTGTAATTTATCTATGCTTTATTTAAAAATAAATAAACCCCTATGATTGATTTTAAATGCTACTACATGCTGCATAGCATTTTTAAAAAGTGCTTCTTTTCGATTTTTGTTTTTTAAAAGCCCTTAAAGGTGCTTTTCGCATTAGGTGTTTTTAAAAAGTGCTTAATTTTCACTTTTTGAAAATGCAATATTTTTCTTTACCATGTCGATTTTCGCCATGTATGGCGCAAAATCATGCTTTTCATATTGCTCTATTCAACATTTTCACAATTTATTCAACAACAATAAATTTTGGCCTACCGTCAGTCTGGTCCATTGGCTATAAAAGCTCTAATCATTTTACATGTTTGATGAAATACTTGCGTGTCCGCATGTGCGTCTTTTGAGCAGAGGTCAGTGAGATTTTAGCACTCTTATGTGCAATTCTGCTGCATTTTGTGAAATATTCTCAATTTCAGTCTTCATTTTCCACCCTAACATAATCAAGAAAATAGTGTTATGTCAGAAACAAGTTATTTTATCATGATCTTGTAAAGTCTTTGAAAATTATTTTGCATTTTGTTTATATATATATGTGCTTAAAAATATTTTTTGAGTGCTTAGAAAGTACTTAAAAGGTACTTTTTTTTGTAGAAAGATTTGGCTACGCACCCTGTACTAATTAACTTATTTTCGATTTTTTTTCTGGATATTTGTGTTGTGATGTTTTACATCTTACATCTGCTTATTGTTTTAGGTTTTTTTATAATGTTGTGATGTCTACATTTCTCATTCGTAAAGAGAATTTCAATAAAAAAGTAAGATATTAAATGAATATTTTTGTGTTTCATTCTGCTTTTAACATAAATAAATTAATTTTTATTATGTTTGCTATATATATTTATATCTTAATGTGTATGAATATTCTTTTATTATTCAGAGATGGAATAATGAAAAGCCTATTTAGAAACATCAATAATGTAAATTTGAACTTATAAAGTTGTTTTAACCGAACAGTTGAATAAAATTTTTCTTCTTTATATTTATGTTTTAAATTAATATTTGCATGTGCAATATTTCTGATAACTAAAACACATGTCTTTTAAATAATAGAATTATGAAAGGTGAACAGAAGTATTATGTAAATATATTTTATGTAAATATACTTTATGTAAATATAAGTTGATTGAAATTTTTAAATTAAGAAAGCTTGTTTTAAAATTTTAGTATTGAAAGTGGAAATGCATTAGAATTTTGATTATTCAAAACTCTATAATCAGCATACCTCTTTTAATCAAAGTTAATTTTTGATTTCAACAGTGAGCTAGGTAACATAATTCATCTTTATGTGAGGTGTCCACAAAAAAAAGAAAAAAGAAGCACTTTTTGTAAAAAAGATGTCTTAATATTTTATTCTATTTTGGGTTGAAAAATTATCTTAGTTTGAGGTGAGTATTTGGATGAATTTTCAAGTTTGTATTGTGCAGGTCACCCTGAGGATGTTTATTCTATCAGGAATTTTGAATTACCTATAATATTCTAGAAAAAAAAGAAAGAAAAAAAACTTAAATTTAATATATTTCATATGTTTTGCTGTTTTAGAAACCCTGGTGTGAAAAAGGTTTCTAAGAAGCAAAACATGTACCTTAGAGTAGAAAAGTTGAAAATAATTGGGAATAATGTTTTTTGGTTAAATATTCAAACAAAAATTTTAGAATGTTTACTTATTATAATTAGTATCTTAGTTTGTTATGCATTATAAAATACTATTATATATGAAAATAAAATTATTTTAAAATACAATTATTTTAAAATACAATTTACAAAGGTAATCTCTGTTTCATTTCAATTTCATTCTTCTGAAAGTAATAGAGGAGTAATATTAATCCTTGAAACTGTTTTTAAGGATTAATTTGCTAAGGAATATAAATCAATGAAATTAATTTCGAAAACCAATGAAGTCAGTGAATGGTTTAGAATTAGATGCTGCTCTGTACAAATGGTTTAGTATTATTGTCTGGGGCAGTAGTTCAAGAGTTAATTTTAAAATGAAATAATTTTGATCCTATTTGATTAAAAGACATTTATTACCTAGTCACATTAAAATCAATTTTAAATAACAATTATTAAAAATAAACATTAATTTTCAGAATTTATTGATGGAAATAGATTAAAACACAATGTTATAATTTGAATGTATCGATTATCCAAATTAGGCCTCATCCCAATGTCTTCTTATAATTGATAGTTTATTACATATGTAAAATGTGCAAGAAACAATGGCGAATTGATACATAATATCATATGTTGTAAAATTTATTTGAGTTATTTTTATACTACATTGTTGTTTCATATTATTTATAAGTTACATTTGAGATCCTTCAAATGTTTTTGCATTTAAGGAGAACTATTTGCTTATCTATTTACGTTGAAAAAAAAAAAGATTCATTTCTCTTTATTGGAAAGAATTACTTTTGTTAGAAATCAATTACAAAAAGGAATTTACTCTGAATCAGTACATCTTTTTTTAATAGAATTAGATTTTTAATCCTCAAAATATGCAGGGTATCCACACTTTGCTAAATAATAATCTCAACATTTTCTTATAGTTATTTATAATTTTTTTACTATTAAATTGTTATTATAATAATGATTAAATGTATTTTTAATGTATACAAAATTTTAAACTGTGTAAATTTAAAGTTCAAACAGATTCAGACAAAATTTGAATAGGAAGAGAGGAATAAACATTTAATTTGATATTTAATTTTTCATGCGATATGAAGTTCATTTTTTTTACAATGCTTTGGCTTTTGTTTCATTTCAATTAAACTGTAAATTACACTACAGTAAGTAAATGTACATATTTAAATTATGTAAAAATTTGTATAATAAAGTTATTGGTATTAATACAAAAGAACTTTCTATCATTGTTAATTAATAAATAATTTTAATTTATGGTAGTCATAATACTGTTCTTCATTTCTAGTTAGCACTTGTTAAAAATAAGAAAATTTTACACCGACTTTTTATTTCTTTAAGTATATAAAAACATGGTGCATAGGGTTTTTAAAAAGTGCCTAAAGGTGCTTCTTTTCGATTTTTAAAAGCCCTTAAAGTTGCTTTTCTCATTAGATATTTTTAAAAAGTGCTTAATTTTCCCGTTTTTGAAAATGAGATTTTTTTTCCTTCACCATGTCGATTTTTTCCACGTATGATGCAAAATCGTGCTTTTCATATTGTTCTATTCAGCGTTTTCACAATTCATTAAACAACAATCAATTTTGGCCTACCGTCTGTCCGGTCCATACTGTATGAAAGTGCTAATCACTTTACATGTTTGATGAAATACTTGTGAGTCCGCATGTGCGTCTTCTGAGCAGAGGCCGGTGAGATTTTAGCACTCTTATGTGCAATTCTGCTGCATTTTGCAAAATATTCTTAATTTTAATCTTCATTTTCTGGCTAATATAATCAAGAAAATAGTGTTTTGTCAGAAACAAGTTATTTTATCATGATCATGTAAAGTCTTTGAAATTTATTTTGCATTTTGTTAATGTATATAGTGCTTAAAAATATTTTTTGAGTACTTAAAAGGTGCTTATTTTTGTTGAAAGATTTGGCTATGCACCTTGAAAAACTAGAAAACTTTGGCATTGTTTTCTGATTAGTTGCTTTTAAATACTTTTTTATCATTATCTAATGTTTCTTTGTGAGTGTACCTAATTAAAAATTTTATGAGCTTCATTCATACGTATTCTATGTTAATATTATATTTTCTTTGAGAATCAAATGTAATTCTTTAAAATTATATTTTTTAGGTTCACAATTCTTATTATGATGGGTAAAGCTAGGCTTGTTTTATTTTTCTTGTTTCTTAATGGCATAATTTATGCCTGTGCTGAACATTTCCATGAGACTCTCCTCGGGGCTGTTGGTGGCGGAAATTATTCATATTACAGACTTTCTCATACTGGTACAGTAGTACTTCAACTTAACTCACTTGAAGGTGACGCTGATTTATATGTGTCATCTGGTAACCTGAAGCCAACATATGACATTGAGAATCACGAGTGGCAATCGACGACCTGCGGCACAGAGCATGTTCGTGTTGCCTCACACTACGAACGGCCACTCACTATTGCTGTGTACGGCCACCCCTCTCATGAAATCAGTTTGTATGAGCTAAAAATAGATGTATATGAAACAAGTGCAGATGAAGAAAGCATCTTCGATGAAGTCAGTTACCAGGATGACAAGCCAAATTTTAGCAAACCAACATCCATACCCAATTTAAATGGAAAAGACGAACCAGAGTATGAAGAAAAGTCGGTTTTTTGGACGTTGCTTTGGCGTATCTTACATGTTCTTCTTGATTTATTAGTAGATTAAGGCTGTTTCTGCTTAATGTTAGAAAATATGAAAAATTCTATATGCACATCATTTTCTATATAACCAGGTTTTTCAAATACTTCTGTAACTTACAAACTATTCTTGTCATAATATTACTTGTATCCTTAAAAATATGTCAGTATTTACTAAAAATTATTTCAAAATTTTAAACAAAATGCAAATTTTAAAGGAAATAATCTTCTAAAAATTGTAGGTTTCATATTTGATGACATATTCAAAATTGTATATTGTGCCTTTTAGTGGTTATTTTAAGTAATTCATTATTGAAAATTACTGATAATTAGTTTATAGAAATAATTATATACAATCAAATTTTCATATAAATTTTTTTTCTCAATTTTGAACATCTCTATAAAATTTTAAATTTTTATAATCTTTAAACTTCTGTCTAATATGATATAATGTACTAAAATATTTTTTAGATAAAAAATTATGTTACAACTACAAATTGCCAATTAACAATTACAAAGCAACATATTTTATATAGAATCTGTGCATATTTTTATATACAGAGCGCTTACTAAAGTCTGTATTGACTTTTTTAACTTTTACACTTTTTCAACTATAGTTATCAAAAGTTGAATATAGGTATAGTAAAGTGGTTACATAATGCAAGATAAAACTACTCAAAGAAGCAACAATAAAAAACTGTGAAGTTAGCTTACAAAATTGTGGAGCAACATGATTTATTACTAATAGACACCTTATTAAGAAAATGATGTTTAAAATGAGTATTCGCCTATTTGTTATGATTTCCTGTATCTTATACTGTTTTCCCTTATCTGATACTGTTTTTCAGATGGAATACTAATCTGCAATTTTCCACCCAGTGATGCTATATGTGATCTCATCTTGTACTATATACCCATTTTACTATACCTAAACATGACTACTGTAACTATTGATGGACCATTCAAAAGTTAACTAGACAGAAATGGAATTTAGTGGGCTCCTGTATAGATATACTTTATATTTTAACATTAGAAGGAAACAGCCACAGACAGTTTTGTTTAATTGTTGGATATAAGAATGTATTGTTGTCACTGAGCTTCCATGACTAGGTTCCTTTTTTGTGTTCAAAATCTGATTAGTCATGATTAATTTTCTGAAGTTATTAACTTAATTAATAGTTAATTTTCGTTCGAACATCTATATGTTAATTTAATGTGTACTGTATTGCAACAAATAGAGCAAGAATTATTCTATCATCTAATTTGTATTTGTTTGGATTATCTATTAAGTTTGCGTGAACTAAGTATTTGGTGCTTTTGTGATATTTCTTATTTTGTTTTAACTGTTTATTCATAATCCAATACTATAAATCAAATACAATGAAACCTTCAAGGAAGACCACCTCTGTGTAGCCACCTCCTCTATATGCGACTATTTATGGAAGGCACAGAATTTTTTCCATAGTCTCTGTGTTGAAGAAAACTTTTGGAAATCCAACACATTGTTTTAGTGGAGACCATCAAAACCTACCCAGCCACTGGGCATACCTTTGTACCAAATTTGGAAAAGGTCAAATTGGGAAACGTGAAAAAATATCAAAACAAAAAATATTAACAAAACAAATAGATTCAAAATATTTGTGAGTGGCTCTTATTTAGAGCACTAAACACATGCACTAAGGTTTATTTTTAGAGTTGAAAATTGAATTAGAAGAAAAAGTTCTTTTACAAATAACTGAGCATCTCAAGCTAACAAACACCTTCTCATTTTTTAAAGTTAACTAATTTTTATGATATAAAATTAAATGCAAACTTAAACAAAAAACATAATTGTTTATTTATTTAAAATAGTTTTATCATTCATAATTTGTAATATACATAATTATATCAGTAATAGTCATTTATGTTGACGCTAAATTTTGTTCAGTGATCTGGTTTTCGTGACGCCAAGAAAAGTGGTATTTTCGCACTAAGAAAATGACACTGAGTAAAATTAAAATTGCTTGCGAAAAAACATGTACCTTTGATAACATTTTGAAGTCAATGAAGGTAATTCCTAAGAACGACCAGCCTCTGTTAACGACAATTTTACTGTGGAGCAGAGAGTGGTCACTCCCAAGAGGTTTCACAGTACTTAACTGTTCACACTTATCTAATTTCATGTAATCTGCATGAAACCAAATTTTTTAAATTATATATAATTAAAAATGACTAAGTTTACTATTTATTCATAAACTAAATATTTAACAGTTCACACTTATATAATTTTGTTTAATTGCATAAAACTAAATTTTTTACATTCTATTTCATTTAAAATTACCAATTTAATTGTTTATTTATAATCCAATATTATAAACCAAATATTTAACTGCCCACACTTATTTAAGTTTGTGTAATCTGCATGGAACTAATTTTTTTAAAATTATATTTTATTAATTAGTAATAGTTGTTTTTAATTTTTCTAGATTATTGCTTTTGTTATACTTATTCATTTCATTTATATAAAAAAATTAAACAACAACACTGCATGAATATTTTATATTCTTCTGAATATGCTTAAAATTCAGAAGTAGTTGAATTGTACTTTTTATATAAAATATTAGAACAAAAAAAATTTAAGAAGTAACATATTTTTCATGTTGTAATATGTTATGTGAATTGCTCAGTAAATTTTAACATTCTTAATTGAGCATTTTAACACGTCCTTCAGTAAAAGTTATGTAATCTCTGATGAAAATTTTAGCTATTTGTGATTTATAAAAACTTAATCTAGTCAGAAAGATTTTCTAATAAAACATGGTTTGTTTTAATAAGGTTATGAATTACAGTGAAATCAGTATAAGTTGACCTCTTGTGGTACATTGTTTTAGTGGTAAGCTTAATTAAGAGGAGGATTAATATATTTTTTTATAATTTCTTATATATTACCAATGAAAATATATGCAATAAAAATGTTGACTTTTAAATTTTATTTAGTGAGCACTCAGTATATCTCACACAATTAGATTAATTACCTGAATCAATTTTTATTTGTTACATAAATTTAATACTACTAAACTGATTAGATTAAAAAACAAATATGCATATTTTGTTAGTGATGCATGTCAGTTATTTAATATGAATATATTTTTTGTTTAAATATCCATACAGAAAAACATTACAGTTAAAATGTACTATATTACATTAATTCATACATTTTAAAATTTATCTTGTTATGCTTGTAAACTTATTTGTTACAAAAATATTTTCTTATTGTTGTTAGGATAAAAAGACTAAAAAACAACAAAATACTAAAAAAATAAAGAGATTAAAAGAATATGTAAGTCTAATAATTTCCCCATATGATCAGCTTATAAAGAGGTTTAGGTAATCTTTCAATATTTTTTTTACAGTTTCAATGAAATTCTAATGCATAAAATAAAATAATAGAAAATTTCACAAAAAAACAAATTTTTTTTTTGGCCAATTCATGAATGACATTTCTTAAAAAACTTGATTTATTTCAGTGGTCAACATACTAGATAGGCAGGTGGTCAGGTACCAAAGGTTTTGCTCTTTTATGTTATTTAAGATAAATTTGGTTTTTTCTTAATAGCCTTTAACTTATAAAGAAGTTTAACTTAATACGTTTCACTGTACATGCAATAAGTGAATGTAATTTTTTTCCAATTATTCAGCCCATTTCATTTTCAATATTATACTGTTGATTTTCATCTCTTTTGACCATTATTCACGCTGATCATACACTCAGGGTGCAAAATCTGTAGCTCAGGATCCAAATGTAGCTCTTATTTTCTGATCAACAGTAATCTGAAAACTACACTAAATGTTATATTTCTTTAAAATTAAATTTAGGAAATGTGGAGCTACTTATTCAAAATGTCACAGTATATATTTAAATATATGTACTCAAGAATTTATTTAAAAATAAAAGGTGTGATTAATGTATATAGTAATAAAAAAATCTGAATGGAAAGGTTAGAAACCTGTTATAATTCAATTTTATTAAAGAATAAAACAAGTCCAATACATTTAACTTTGGAAATACACAAAATTATGTATTTGTTGTTACATGCTTTGGAAGTTATGTTTTATTATGGGCATCTTCTTTTTATTTTAATAAAATTAGACTTGTCAATGAAAGGATAAAGATTAATTGGCATCAGGAATTTGAAAATTAATATAATTAATTCTCTTCCAGCTGCCTTTCTCTAAAAAAGGGTGTACTCCCATCCCCATAGAAAGCTGTATGCAATTTTATAAATGTTTTAAATTACTACATTGTAGACACTTTTTAATATCTTTGAATATTTAATATTATTTCTATTGGCTATCGAAACTTCTATCGATAATTTGTAGCAAATATTATAAATCAATTTTTGTTTTAATTTAATTTGTTATACTTGTCAGATTTATTTATACAATTGAACTTTTTAAGAAAACTTAATGATGCATGTATAATCAGATATTGAAAGAATGTTTCATGATATTTAATAAAAAGTTTGAGATTGATAATACAAATGATAAATGCTTTTTTTTTAATCATACCACATTAAATCAATTAATTTTAGATCAACCCAATTTTTTTTATTTTAATTAAATTTGGACCAAATAAGGGACTTGTGAAATATGAGTTTTATTAAAAATGACAAACTTGCATACAAGCAGATTATTGCAACTTTTTTCCTAATTTAAGAAAAAATTCAAACGCCATTGGGGAAACTAAGAATTAGACTTTTCACCCTAATCACTATATGATGGCATTGGTCAAATTTCCTAGACCAGTGTTTCCCAAAGTGTGGTATGCATACCCCAAGGGGTACAGGAACAGTTTAGCTGGGGTACGCGTTCTTATGCAAAATATCTAGCAACAAACGAAAATCTCAAAATTTTTTATTTAAAAACAAAGCTAACCATGAAAATTTACGATTACTTATTTTTCTATTGGCTATTTTTTGCAGAGTTAACCGTTAATAATTAGTGATGTCAACAGCCAGTTGTGATTTTTAACTTTTGTGCAGTCTTTTTTAAAGTAAAAAATACATTATTTTTTTTATTAGGGGTACACAAAAGACATAAGTTTGGGAAACACTGTCCTAGACCATCAGACTTAACCTTTGACCTCAGAACATATACCTTCATAAAATAATGTAAGAAAAAGAAAACATTTTAAATATTTTTCATGTCCAAATCCTCTTTTCAAGTTAAAAAGAAAGGGAAATAGAAAGAAAATTATTTGTTACTTATAAGCACAATTTTGCTATTCAATTTATGTTTATGACTGGAAATTCTCTAATGCACAATTCAATTCCTAGCATTTGTTATGTGATTTTTTTTAATGCACTTTTTTATATGCATTTATAAATTTTGATTTTTATTCCTTTTATGTCTCATTTAGAATTCCTATAATAATCTAAATTCAATTTTGAAGCTAATAAAATGAGTAAAAAGTATAGTTTATTTAGATATTTATGAAGAAAATTGTAAATTATTGAACATAATTTTAATAATTTAAATTATTTTTTAAATTATCTTACTGAATTTTGTTCGAAAACTATTTTAATGTTTTTGTCTATAATATTAATAACACTGTCTCTATATCTCTCATAATGTCTCCTTATACCCATAAATTTCTTATGTATTCTTGTTTTATATTTGGAATCCATTCAAGAGTGAACAAGATTTCTTTATAGTCTAATTTTAAATTTTGAAACGATACAAAATCATACAAAATGTTTATTAAAACTACATATTTTTTAGATATTTCATTACTACATTGAGGTAAATCAACGTGAAGTTATGTGAAGTTCGCATAGAGAGTGAAACAATTTGAAATATATCTATATATCCAATGTGTTTTAAGTGTACTAAGTTATCTTGTGTGTTTCAGCAAATCAATTAACCATACTTATTGAGAGTAAAGATACATTTTGTATCCCGTGAAACTTTGGGTTTCAAAATAATTTTGTCTAGAATTAAAACTTTGTCTTGTTTTAATTTTAAAATATTCTTAATATCACTAAATTTTGAGATAGAAAATAGTGAGTTCTTTTGATTTTCCTTGCAGTGGTAAAAGGAAAGAATTTTAGTTTGATTTTTGTTCATTGATTTAATCAGATTGGCTAACTTTTCTTATAACAAAATATAGCTTAATCTTTGGTGCTTCCTAAAATATTGTTTTTTTTCTCTCTCATTGAAATAAGAAACAATATGGTGATCTTAAATATAAATTTTAACTTTTGTTAGATATTTATTATAGCTCTTATGTTTTTAAGATATCTTATTGTTTTTTTGAATTGAATTTTAATACTGCCAACATAAATTTATTTTTATAAATAGACTTAAAAAATGTAGTTCATGTTGATACTGATATTTAAAAGTTGGTATTAAATTGACTCATTCAGTCAATCAAAGTATACTTCCATTAATTAAAACATTATTTTAATAAGATAAGACTTTTAATATCAAAATATTGTAAAATTGATTGTTGAAAAAATTCATAATGTGTGGATAAAATTGTGAATAAAGAAAATTTTCTCAGCAAATGCTGTTCAGTCTTTTTTTTTTTTTTTTTTTTTTTTTTTTTTTTTTTTTTTTTTTTTTTTTTTNTGATTTAAAAAAATTAACATGCTTTTTTTCAGTCATTTGTGTGCTTCACTGATGTATAATATTTACCTTTTAGGAAATTTTAAATGTTATAAATCACTTATGAAGTGTTTTTCTTAGGTGACTAAAATTTTGTTGCAAAAAAAGGAGAAAAAAAAAAGGTTTTTTATTTTACTTTCAGAGGTGCTAGCTAAGAAGAGTTTTGAATTTTTGTCATTTGTAACTAAATTTTCTACTCATTTATTCTAAACATAATAAATAAAAATGAATTGATAGGAATAAGAAATAAAAAAAAATTCATCTTTCAACAAGCTATTTTTAGACTTGTCAAGAATGAAAGAGGCTACACATAAGACTTACAAAAAAAAAAAAAAAAAAAAAAAANGTTTTTTTTTTTTTTCAGTTTCTTTTCCAAGCAAAAATTTGGAAATGAAGTAAACAATTTCAGTGTTGTATATTTTTTTAATTTATCATCTTTGCTTACTTTTTATTCACATTAGTAAATTTATACACAATTTTATTACTGTTATATACATAGAATTAAGTAGTATACACACTTTAAATTTTAAATGAAATTGAATTTTGTAAACACTAACTGCATATTGCTGTATTATTGTATTTCTGACTACTGATAGCTTAGTTTGGAAAGTTAGCACCTCTATATTTTTATATATATTTTATAATACATATTTTACAAACAACTTTTATTAGCAATAGCTAGCAGTATCAGTTCTTTTTTTTGTTGCAGACTATGCCAGGTTATTGTAGACTTTCACAAGTTGACATTGAAACATGCCTAGCAAAAATTTTGAATAAAACAGTGACACTTTTTCCTCCTGCTCTAACATTCAACTTTCTTGTCCTGTCAGGCATATTTCCTGTTAGCAGCATGCATACAAAATTTAATGCAAAAGATGCTCCTATAACATGAACTAGCTGGAAAGGTAGGCAATTATACCAAAAAGCAGTGAGAGAAGTGCAAGAGAACTGGTTCAAGTGACTGTTTGACTAAATTATATAATAATTACATAATACCAATGTAATATATAATATATATAATAATCACATAATAATTTACATAATACCAATGCCACCAAAAATTACTTTAAAATAAACTGCAGACAATTTACTTAATTTTTAAAGAAATGTAAATGACTAAATATTAGAAAGCACCGAGGTTTCGACCAAGGACTCTGCCATTTAGTGATCTACCACACAGTTCCAAATGAAGGAAAATATAAAAATTCCCTAATGTGAAAGAAACATAATTCAGTGAGTGACAAAGGAAACAATAAAAATGAATAAATATGACAACCGAAGCTGACGTCTTCAGGGGGAGCCAGCTCCGGAAATCATAAAAGTAAAACCTTTTCTATCGAGAGAGCATGACAAATGTCTAAAATTGCTCTCTCTGTACCCCAAAGGTTTTGCCTAAGTCCAGGAAAAGAATACAATATAAAATACATAAAGCAAATACAGAAGTATAAAAACAATACATAAGAATAATACGCACAAAAGCGTATTGTTCTTATGTATAATACGTAGAATTATGTTAAGAATAATACATAGAAAAGGTTTTGCTTTCATGACTTCCGGAGCTGGTACCCCCTGAAGACGACTGCTTCGGTTGTCATATTCATTCATTTTTCATTGTTTCTTTTGTTTCAATTCCTTTTGGATTCTCAGCTGTTTAGTGCTTTTTTCCACAGGAAGTATTATTTTTAATTGCTTTAATTATTTTGAATTCTTTTCTTAAGGTTCAGTGAGTAACATTAGAGGATTGGCACATTTGACACTACTGTGGTTTTGTTGAAAAACACCATGACTTATCTTGTAGGAAACGAGATGTTTCGTGTATTTTACTGTTATCTAGTGGAAACTTGTCCAATAATTACTTGGAAAAAATACTATGGGCAAAATATAGTTATTTTAATTTCAAATTACTAAATTTATAAAAGTGTTTTAATACTTATTTTATACCTAAAATGTATCAATTCAGTTAATATAAAAATCAAAATTTATTTAAGATCAAAATTCTTGTAACCATTGTTTGATATCTTTTAACCCTTTACCAGTTAAACAACTGGATTCTATAACTTCAATGTTCTGTTTAGCATGAAGACAAATATCATCAAGTCTTAATAAATATTTCATTTCTGAAATAGTTGTAGATACAGTAATATCTGTTTTGTTCAAAATGATAAGAAATCTTGCATTTTGAAGTGAAGGATGCTTTAATGCTTCTAACAAAAGTATTGTAGCACAACTTATTTGTTGCAAATTAGAACTGTCTACTAAAAATAAAACTCCTTTACATCCATTGTAATGCATGGGCCATATTGCTGCCATTGTTCCACCTAATTCACTAATCTGAAGTCTCCGTAATTTTTCAAAGACAATCTGTGCAATATTCACACCTACTGTGGGAACAGTTGAAAATACTTCATCAAACATATTACAATAAATGTCCTTTTGCTGCAATCTACGCAGTAGCAATGTTTTGCCAACATTTTTTGGACCTATGCAGATAATCATTTTCTTTAAATTACCTTTATTTTTCAGAATCTTTCACTGAAAAAAAAATGAGTTGAATATAAGAATTGTCAAATATTTAAAATAAGTAATAAAAGAAGTTAATTGAAGTTAGAAACCATATAATTGATATGTTATATAAAGCACAAAACAAAAGATCAAGAATTAAATTAAGTCCGAAGTTTAAATGTCAGGTAAAAGTATTTTCTTTCAAAAGCAGATAGTTCAATGTGCATTTCTTTTTCCTCAATCACACTTAAAAAACATAGGGGAAAATGACAAAATATTAAAAGTTAAGTATTTTCAACTTGAACAGATTTTTGGAATAAAAGAATATTGAAAGCAAGTCTCTTAGGAAAAGCTAAAATTAAACCCATAGAAAAATAAATTCTGGCACTTAGAATAGATAAAGTTGGCCCAAATAAAGAATAAAATAAGTATAAGTACTATTTTAGTTCAAATATTTTTATTCTGGATTGCAGTATGTAGAATGAAGGATAAGCAAAAATAAGATTTAATTAATTGTCAAGTGTCTCATATTGTAGGGGTCAGGCCGATGGGAGATTAGGTCTCCGGTTCAGGCAGAATTTTATATTGTGTAGCAAAATAACTTAAGTTTATCCATAACTTACCGGATGGAAAAATTTACTCCGACCCACCCTTATTAAGGTCTACTTTCTGTTCCGTTCTTCTCAAAAAACTAGAGGATTTATTCTTGCAAATTTTTGCTTTCTTTTCATGTGATTGTTTAGAAATTAATTTTCTTTATTTACATATTTATTATTTCTTTTAAATTATTATGTACACAAATTGTATGTTGGAAAAGAAAAACATGGTTTTAAATAGGCATACATGTCATTATGAGAGAAAGATTTGATTTAAAAGTAAGAAGTTTACTCTTATTAAACCAAAAAGAAAAACATGCTTATATCTAAGAATTGGAACTGTGGTTCTACCCTGAAAGAAATATCAGGGCATTCAAATTTGAGAAGAAATGCCATTTATTGCAAAAGATGTAAAGATGCATGAACTTGAATTGATATTATTTTATTTTATATACGTCGTTGAACAGCTGACCAAATTTTTGAGTTTACGACTACCAATGTTCAACTCCGTAGCATTACAATTTTGAACCTAATCCAGAAGACGAGAACTCCTGGATCAATTATTGGGAGAAATTTGCCTTTGTGGAGGACTTTTTTATGGAACTAATCTGCGATTGCATTACACGGAGAGGAAAACCTTCCACAGTTAGCCTGATAGCATGGGACTCTAATCTATGATTCATCTATCACTGAGGATTCAAAACTGGGTCACCTGATTGGGAGTTGAGCGCTCTATTCCCTGAGCCACCGCGGTTCAATTTGAATTATTTTTTTTATATAACCGCCCTTGAACAGCCAACCTGGGTTTACCACTACCAGTGTTCAATGAATAATTTTTGGCGGGAAAAAACAATTTATCTATTGCTAAAGACAAAAGTATAAGCAGCCAAAATTAAAATAAAGTGTCAACAGTTCTCTAAATTTGATATGCAAGGAAATGAAATTTAATCAGCTAATTATCTGCAAAATTACTTATTATTATTTTTTATCTCTTTCTCATTTTAAATATTTTGAGGAATTTAAAAAGATGAATTTGCATGAAAATTTTCTTTAATTGTCTGAAATATTGGGGGGGGGGCATTTAGAGATTTCTAATTATTAAGGTGGTGAAGACATATACCTAACATTCCCCTCTGCCAGCGATGCCCATGGACATAAGCCTGTGAAGATTTTGGCATCCATACATGCGCCAAAATAATCGTTAACTTTTGGCATTTGTACCAGACAAACTAAGAAATTGGGAGAGGATCAACTCAAAAGGTGTAACTAGTAGCCACTGCAAATCAAACCATTCCATATTTTTTCCAAACTTTTTTTGCACGTTCAAATGACCTATGTTAACTTAGCCACCATCCTTTCTGGGAATACATATCAATCTCAGAAGTTTTTTTTAAGCTTTAAGGGCAAAAGGCTAGGTAACAATAAGAACACATAAGGTTTTCAGAAAACTTTCGGATAGAAACAGTTGTTTTAATAATTAATAGCAATTTAAATGTATAATAATTCAAAATATTAGCATACATACAGATAGTAAGATTAAAATGTCATTTTATGCAGACTTGCATGTTTAAACTATGTTTTTTCCAACTATTTAAAAAACAAATCACGTTGGTTACATTACAAAGTTAATGGGCATTATTTTAGATTCATTGAACTTAACTAAAATTCGGCATTCTTGGAAATGAAATGTGAAGGGAAAAAAAATTCTAAACTTCTCAGAAGCCATGTAGTGTATACAGTAGGTCATCAGCCCATCAACTGTATTTAATGAATTATCCAGTCTGACAACTTTTTTAAAAACAGTTATAATCTTAGAAGTCATAAAATACCATCACAGTCATAAAAAATAAAAAAAATTAGTTAGAAATTTAATGTTTTGAGATAGACATAAAAATAAGATTTATACTGTGACAATAGATTTTTACAGCCTACACTTAATTTAAAATAAGGATATCAGATCTAATTGATGTTAAATTGCCTTAATCACAAGAAATATAATTATTTAATATAAATGTAATAGCAACCACAATTAAAAAGGTGTCACAAAATATTACTGGTAAATTTCATTCAACCTAATAATCCTCATTTTGTTTATAGTTCGAGAGACAGTGGTATACGTTACGCTAAGGAGGAAACTTAACTCACAGAAATGTTAATTCAAAGCTTGACTGTTTATACAATAAGTAAATGATATGAGATTGTTGACGTAATATTAGAAATAAATCCTGTGCCTTAATCTCATCATAGACATGAATATTTTGTTACATATTGTTGCTTAGCAACGATTGTCTCTTTGGAAAATGAGCGGTTAGCTTCTGCCTCTATGATATTAAAATAATCAATCTGAATTATTTTCATACAATCAATGAATCAATCAAATCTGTTTACTTATTGCTGAGTGTTTTGCTGTGTTTACTCCCGAAGCGTTTAGATGAAACTTGGTTATATTTTCTTCATTACATAAATTATTAAATCAAAAAAAGATACTAAATAATTGACATTTAGTAGTTTTATGAAGTGTTATTTACAGAACTTTGAGTCGCCTTGTTGAAGATGAATATTCTACCCAAGAAAAGGTAATGTACTAAATTCTTTCAAAATATATAGTTTGTTGAAATCAACTAGTATGAAATTATTTTCATTAAATGATTAGCATAATACATTTCTGTGTGCTGGAAAAAATTTGTAAATAAGGTTCTGTTTTAATCATTTTTTGCTTGTTTGTAAAATGTATTATTAACATAACTTCTTATAATCTATATAATAAAAGAGCATAATAACTACAAATCAGTATTTAATAATGTACATAATTTTTACAATTAAAATTCGCTTTATTATTTTTCCATGCAATTAATTTTGTTATAAGTACTAGAGATTGCTGTTATATTTTTTTCCCTATTATATGTTTTCCTGTTCTTAGCTGTAGGTTGTAATAAATAATTTGCTGAAATTTTGATTCTATTTACAGCTGGCATGTGCGTACTAAACGCAATATTGAAAGAGTACGCCGTGATGAAGCTAAAGCTGCTGAAGAAGAAAAAGAACTGAAACGTCGAATTCGTCTTGCGGTAAAAATTGTCCTTAAATAAAAATTTTTTTTCTAAAGATTATACCCGTTGGAGGAGATTTCTGTATTGTGATCTGTGGCCGAATAATTGCCAAATCTTGAAACTTCCGGGCAGTGCCCCCGCGAGAAACTAAAAAAACATCACAGAAAGGGACCAACTCGAAAGGTATAACTCGTAGCCACCGCCTACATGTTTTTTTTAAAAAAAATTTGCAAGTTTAAAATCTATTTGGCACCTTGACGATTGTAGTTGGCGCAACAGATCACGATACGGAAATATCTCCACCCGCTTATTCAAAACCATTTTGATGTATTTTTTTTTAATATCCAGACTTGTTATTGATGTTATAGTACAATAAAAAAGTACTATTCTCATTAACCTGATTGTAACGAAGAATTGCCTAACTATTAGTGATGCTGAATTGCGCTGTTAGGTTTTGCTGGTATTATGAAAATATGTGGAAATTTAATACACAGATATCATTATTCTGGTTATAGTTTTTATAACCTTCCAAAGTGGAATAATTCAAATATATTTGTAAATTTTATTCTTAGGTTCAAGTCTATTCTTATTATTTTAATATATTCTATTTTAAACCTATTTCTTAGATTCTTTAAAACTTTTTATATCTCTTATGGAAGGTTTTCATATCAATACCTATGCTAAACTGGTCATTAAATGGGGCAGTGGCACAGAAATATCAATTAAGTATTTTCAATCATTTTATAGTTTTTCAATCCTTTTTCAAGCAGTTAGTGATATTCAATTTTATTTGGTGCTGTAAATCCTAATATTTTATTACAATATTATTTAATGAAGCAAAAATTGGAAGAATATATGAATTTTTAACTGTTTGCTGTTTAAAATTTTATTTTAAAAGAATTATTGATGTGCAACATTTTTAGGAAGCAAAATTTATCAACATTGATGAGCAGCTTTGCCACATCAAGGAATTTATGTAGTTTGTAATTTTCACTTTTTTCAATAATAAAAACACTATGGTATGTCATAAGATAAAACTTGACCATTTGTCTTTTGCATTTTTTTGCTACTCTCACAAATATTAAACTATTGAAATTTATATTGTTATGCGACCACAATTTTTATTGTTAATTGTTTGTTTTTTCCGTTTTATACTTTGTTATCTTAAAATTGAAGACATTTTTGCAAATCTGAAAAATTTAGCTTAATTTTTTGTGGGTTTCTTTCTTTATTGTCCAGTTTGTTAGTTATTGAAATTCAAATGTGTATAATCTATGCATGTTGTTACTAACTTTATCTGTGAAGCTACTAAAGCAAATCTGTACAGATATTTCCTTACCAAGTAATATTTCTCCATTATATTGAGAAAATTTATTTGCAGTGTAGCAGAGCAATTAAATTCGACCTTGAAATCTATTAAAATCAAACCTCGTTAAAGCAAAATTGGCAAGACTATCATAATTATTTCATGTTAACTAGATTTCATTTTGTCCGAGGCGCCATGAAAACAATTTTTTGTGTACTAGTAATAGATATTATGCACTACATTAATGTATGTAAGCTATACTATTATGCACTAAACAACTTAAAATAATCTTAAAAATTTTAGTTTTATTTTTTAATATAATTATAGAAAAAAAAAGTAATATGTTTTACCTTTTCTTTTATGGTTATTTATTTCAAAGGTTGATTCTAGCTGATTTTTTCGATGTACAGTGCAGAACCCGTTATCCGGAAATCAGAAAACCGGAAAACCAAAAAACCGGAACAAAATTCGATAAATTTTCCCGCCATTTAAAAAAAAATTTTTTTTTCTTCATAAGATTTCAGGATTTTTCTTTCTTTTTAGAAAGATGTTTACCTTCCCATCATTTTGGAAATAATCATTAGTGTATTACTTCATCGTTTTTTCTTCTTTTTAAGATTATTTCCCCCAATTTTTTTTTTAGTTGGGTTTAACATTAAAAAAAACGGCTTTTTGTAGTGATTCAGAAAAGCGGAAAGATCAGTTATCCGGAATAGCGATGGTCCCGATCCTTCCGGATAATCGGTTCCCTACTGTAATTCTTTAATTTAAAATTTTTTTTTAGTATATGTATATATTTGATTTTTGTTTGTCTATATTAGGAGCAAGAAGCCAGGACAGATCTATTGCGAAAGAAAGCTAAATCTGATACATCCTTAACAGGGTCTGATAATGAAATACCATTTACAAGATCTAACACTGAATCTTCAAAAATTTATGATGCCAATAAACACATTAATTTTTTCCAAGAAATGGAGGATGCTGGTGTAAGCATTATTTATTATCATATTTATTTAATATTTAAATTATTGTAAATTGTGAATCAAAATATATAATATTGAAATACAACTGATTCTCTTTTCCAATTTGAACTCAAAAGTGAGGGAATAAAAGTTTGTATAAACCAAGATTGAAATTAGAATAATTTAAAAATAAGCACTGTTTTGTAAAAAAGAAGAAAAAAAATTATTACTATTTCAATATTAAACAAAACAAAAAAATGTACATAAAACTTTTTTAGAATTTTAAAGATGTATGTGTTATGAATTTCCAATTAATACTAAAATTTACTATAAATAACTCGTATATTTATAGTAAATTTTCTTATTAATTGGAAATTCATAAAAATGTAATTTACATTCACATTACATCTCTATATTGATTCACTTAAAATATTTTGTGATAACTGTTTGCTTTAATTTTTCATTATAAACAAGATCTTCAATAGCATAAAATATTTTTAAAATTAATCTGACATTTAAAAAAACCTTCTTATATTATATTATTAATCACTTTTAAGGCTTAAACAGGGACACATATTGGTTTTTGCTACATCAAATTTTGAATTAACCGAAGCATTGGACAGATCTTAGAAACAGATAGAATTTTAACAATAGTTTCAATTGGGAATTGTTAGGGAACTAGCATCAGTTTCTTGTGTTTAGAAGTGTTAAAATTATCCATGTTTAAATTAAAAAGAGTCAGCTGTATTTTATCTTAAATTTTTTTTCTGGAAATCATTCAGTATATTGATTTAGTTTTTTTTCATGTTTTTTGAGCATAATTAGCTTCAGTTATTCATATTTATTCTTTTTTAGCTAATTCTGTTATTTTTTAAAGTAGCTGTACTAGTTATTTCTGTTTTTATATATTTATTTTTCTAAAATTCAATAATAAGTTTCCTTAACTCCTTAACATTGATTTATATCAATTTTATTTAAATCAATATAAAAAGAAAGAAATCATCAGCAAGAATATAAAAAAATCATCAATTTAAAAACTTACAAAGCATTTTTAAGAAAATCTCAAGCTTTATTGCAATTATTGAGTTGAGTGGATCGAAATAAGTTATATAATCATTAATAAAAACACATTTTTTTAAATGCTTCATTTTCTGATTTTAATTGATATATATTTAATTGATTGTCATTTGTTCTCCTTTTATTGTTAATTTCCTTATTTTATTGTTAATTTCCTTATTTTATTGTTAATTGTTGTTTTATTGGTAAAAAAGAGCAGCTTTAAATACTTTTGCAGTTCTATTTAATCAATGAGTCTTTTACCTTAATTTAACAACCAAAAGCTTAATTTTTTTTTTTATTCGATAGAAGGTATAAATAAATTAAAACGGTGGTTGAACTCTATAAATACTTATTTGAAATTCCATATAGTCTAGGATTGTTCAACTAATCAATAATTTTTTTTTCTTTTTTCATCTTGCATTTTATTTAAATTTTAGGAGTTTTTTTTATCTAGTTATTTAGAAAAACTTCTGTCCATTATTGTTTAGTTTTTTTAATTAGTTTTTGCAAAATAATTTTTTTATCAGTTATTCCTCATTGAATTTTTCTAGTCAATTCAGAATATGCAAGCTTTTTCAAAACTTATTTTTTTATTATATTTTTACACAAAACAGACCTGTTGATTTCTTTTACCCTATATATGATATTCTAAATTTCATGTAATTTATTTCCTAATGTGATTTTCAGAAAAGTATTCTGGTCTATCACAGAAATCTAAACAATTTTTTTATAATTTCCTAAATAATCGGGTTTTTAAAATTTTATTTTTTGATTGATACCTCTTACAAAAATATGATACACTGATGATATGATACCTCTTGATACACTGCAATATGTTATTTCTACATTTTTTATAATTTATTTATGAACTTTTGAACGACTTAGAAAATATTGATATTAAAATAACAAATATTATCCCTTCTATTTTTGAATACTTTTTTAAATTTCATGATAAATATCTTATTTAAAAGAAATTTTATTTTTTTTAAATTTCATGATAAATATCCATTTTAAAATAAACTAAATATACTTTTTCACAAAAATTAAGCCTGTGCTCAAATTTTTATTTAAATAGGCATCAATATTGAAATCTTAGACTAGCCTTTGGCCTAACAAACAAGTGTATGAAAGTTTTTGTTGATCTAATGATCTAATATTAATAAATTGTAATAATTATAACAGAAAAATATTGCGTAAATATTTTGTTTTGTTTTGTTAAATGTAATTAAGAATCAAATAGGTTTGTGGAAGTCAATCATTCAATATTTGTTTTATAATAAGTAATCTTCTAGTTAGCTGCATACTATTGTATATTTAACAATTTGTCCACTAGTGTCACATATTTTTTTAAAAAATTTCTATTAATTCTATTGGACCCTTAATATAATAAGTGCATGCATATAATTTAAGTACCTATTAGCTAAATATAAAAATTTTCTTGAAAAAAAATTTCTTTTTGAAAAAATAAATGTTTTTTTTTAAACCTGCTACTAAAATAAAATAAAAACTACTACTAATGTTTTTTATAATTTCTCTTAGCTTTAATTTAATTTGCCATTTTAATAAAATTTTATTATTATTATTTTTAAATCTGTACAGAACATTGCTATTTTATATTAAAGTCCTATGTTAACTTGTTTTAAAATTTTAAATGATTATATTTTTATTTGGAAATATGAAAACTCGATGGCCACATAGCATCTGCTTGTTTCTACTGTATTGACTTTAAGAATTGCATGATTATTTATCCTTTTATCAGCAAATTTATTTTATTGAAGAATAAAAAATCTTTTTACTACTTATTTATGAAAAGTTTCTTTATTTTCATTTCTAAATCCACGTTATATGAATTTAAATGTAAATAGTGCGGATAAACTTTTGTATTACTTATTATGTGTTGAAAAATTTTTATCCAGTAGCTGGCTACGTAATATATATATTTTTTTCATAAAGAAATTTAAACATAAGTAACACTTTTGACCATTCGTTGATATGTTAAATAATTAAATTAATTTTTAATCCTGTTAAATTATTTACTAACCGGTTAATAAAATTATTACTTTGTCACGATTTCAAAGTTCTTTAAATTTATTTATTTTGTAATAAAAATTGTCATTAAGGAAAATTGAAATAAAAACATAAAGAATTTATCATATTTTAATATTTTGTTTAATTTTGATTTAGGGATACAGTGGAGGTGTTAATAAAGAACATGAAGAAGAAGAGAAAGCTCGGAAAGAAAAATATGAAAAGGACATTGGGTTACTGACTTACTTAGGCCAAAGTTCTTTAGAAGCAAAAGGTAAAACAGAAAAAAAAATTATAATATATATTTTAATATAAGTTTTGATAATTTTTTTTCTAAAAAATGGTGCCATTAATTTTCAACTGTGCCAAAACTATATTTTTGAACGAAATTAAAATTAATGTAATTTTAAGATTTTTTTTTAAGATACTGGGTTACTGATTTACTTAGGTTAAAGCTCTTTAGAAGCAAAATGTAAGACAGTGGAAAATTATTTACAAAATATATTTAATTATACGCTTGGATGTTCTTAATGTAAGTTATTATTTTTATTTATTTATATACTTATTTATTATTTTCTTTTGAAAAAAAGTTGCTATTAAATTTTAACTGTGCTAAAACTAATGAGTTTAAAAAATTACTGTGATAAAAAGCATTGGAATACTGACTTACTTAGGCAAAGACAAATGTGAACGAACTAAGTTTTGTCTTCGGCAGACGCTTCTTCCTTTATTTGTCCGAAATGAATATTCTGCATTTAGCAGAATAGGCTAAATACCAAATATTTGTATGTTGCATCTCTAATTTAGTAGCAGCAATTGCTGTTCATTTTTGAAAATGTAATTTTTTTTAATGATAATTTTACTGTGTAGAGCATAATCTTGTATCTATTTTTACAATTTAAAAACTCCTTGAAAAAGTTTTTTGCAATAACAGGATCCTATTTGCACAAATTCACAAAAGCAGGACCCTGGTTGAAAGAATGTGACTTAACGTTTATTTTATAGTATTCCCAAATTATGAGTAATTTTTTCACAACTTTACAAAAACAGGACCTTTCACAAAATGTCTGGACAGACCCCTGTTATTTAAATTTATGTTATTTATTATCTTGGTCTAGTTTCAAAAATAATATAGGATACACAAAAACAATACTCTTCTTTCTTTTACACATTTCTATTTAAATAAATAAATAAAGGTCTATGATTTTTTCTTAAATTATTTAATTGAAGTAGCCTGATAAATGTTAGATTTATTTAATTTTTTTTTAAAAAAGAAAACTGATTTTTCTTGTAAAAGTACTAAATTTTTCTTTATTTTAAATTGTTTTTATTTAAAACCACGTTATTTAATGAATATAGAAAATAGTTTTTGCGTGAATATAAAAAATAAAATAAACTCTCAAATATAACAATAAAATAAAAAATAAAATTAATAAAAACTGACCTTGTAGGGAAAAAAATTTCTTTTCAATTATAATGCTAGGAAGCTAAAATAAATAATAATAAAAAGTTGTTTGTGGTATTAAAGTGTCAATCAGAATTTTCAAAATCAATTATATAGCTGAAGCTATGTTGTCTAACAAATCTAACATAACTTTTAATACTATTTGGATTTTTTGTATAAAATATCTATATTTTTAAAGTATTCATAAAAAGTATTATACTTCTTTAATTTCATAACATACTTCTTTCTTGTTAGACTTTGAAGCTAAATTTATTTAAGAATATTATTCAAATGATTTTCAGGCCACAGAAGCAGTTTTATTCTTGTATTTCTGAATATCACTGTACAGATATTTATTTTTACCATTAAATTATATGAAAACATGAAAATTTTAATTATTTGAAACCGTAAGTCTGTTTCTATCTTTCGTTTTTTTTTTAAATTTAAATGAATGAAATATTTTCATTATGCATTTTAATATTTATTTTTTTTCCTTCTTAAATGACCAAAATTATTAAGAGGTTAAAAATTTTAAATCAGTGTGTGTTTAGAAATTTATCTTTTGTTTTATGAAATAAGTTCATCAATTTGTATGATTGTTCTCAATGGATATTTTTTTTCAGGCGAAGCTCCTTGGTATCTCAAGTCTAGTTCTGCTGTGTTGTCACCAGATGGGTTAGTTTTTTCACATTCATTATAATATTAAATTAAAATGAAATCTAATCAATATAATTTTCTGATGGTATTATCTGACATTGTTTTATTTTTTAAAATATTTCTTATTATAGTATATATTAAAGTAATTTATTCCAGCAGAGGCATTTTTTTTTCTTTATGAAAGTGTTACTTAGAAAAATGTTAATATAGAATCATTTAAAAAAAATTTCATACTGTTATGATTTTTTATATGAAGTAAGAGTTAAATTAATCTTTTTTTTTTCATGTGTAACATTACATTATTTGAAGAGTATTAATTTATTAACATAATCTAAAAAAAATTTATCCGATAAATAATACCCAGTTTTGAATTTAAAAGAAAATATTAAAGGGAGTTGAATCATGGACAAATAAAGACACAACTTTGTTCATTTAAATTCAGTTTATTATTTAGAACATATAGATCCACCAAAACGTCCTCCACGAAGTCAATTTTTCCTAAATATTTGATCTAGGGATGTCTTCTGGATTGGTTCAAAATTGCAAGGCTATGGAATCGAACATTAGTAGTCGTAAACCCCAAAATTGGGTCGGCTGTTCAACAACAGTTATAAAATAAAATATTAAAAAAAGGACCACAGAATAACTTTTGATTAAATGATCGGATCTTCATGTTCTAGAACTTAATGGTTCAAGGTGAGAATCTCAAATATGCTAATTAATTAATACAGATGATATTTTAAGTTACAAAATCAGATACAAAAACATTCTCTCTCTGAACAAGCATAGGTTTTTTTCAACAGATTCGGATTTCTGACCTCCAAAATATAGCCACAATCTGGGAAATATGGTCTCAATAGTTTGGTCAAGAGAGTGTTCAAAAGTTTGGGCCCCTTAATGTTAGTTTTACTCTTTGCATATTTTGGCTATATCTCAAGAACTTTTCAAGCAAATTGAAAACTTTTTGTGCACAATTATAAAATTTGTTAATCCTAAGATAATTACATACAAATATAACTTCGAGTAAATATTTTTAATATTTTATTTCATTACAGTCAAAAAAGTTTTAAACTGTTAAATTTAATTTTTTTTTAATATTTCAAAGAATTTTTTTTACATTTTTACTCTGCAAAATTCTTAAGTTGGGCAAATTGTTCTTAATTTTTAACTTAGAATTTTCTTCAAATTTAATTTCTCAGGAGCTATTCAACAAATGTAAAATTAATTTTTTTTAAAATGATGTAAAAAATTGTATATTTTATAGTTCAAAATTTTTTTTGACTATCATTAAATAAAATTAATAAAAGATAATAAATATTTACTATAAATTATTTTTATATGGAAATTATATTTGAATAAATCATTGTTATAATTGTGTGCAAAAATTTTTCAATTAACTTAAACATTTCTTCAAATATGGCTAAATTGGCAAAAAGTAAAATTTACTTTAAGGGGTTCAAATTTTGGACCGCTCTACTGACCAAACAATTGGGGCCATGTTTCTCAGATTGCGGCTACCCCCGATATCTTAGGGGTCAGAAATCCAACTCTGTCAAAAAAAAGGTATGTTTATTCAGAGGAAGTAAGTCTTTGTGTCTGGTTTTGTTACTTAAAATATTGTCTGCACTTATTAATTAACATATTTGAGGTCACCCCCTTGAGCCATTATCATTGAGTTCTGGAACGGGAAAATCAGATTATTAGATCAAAAATTATTTCATGGTGGTCTGTTTAGTTATTTATTTATTTTGCATGCTGTGCTTGCGCAAATTCATTAGATTAACCCAGATAGTGAAAAATTGTTTCTTGCATTTAAAAATATTAAAAAGGATAATGGAAAAATATTAAAAAGAATAATGGAGTTGTTATTATGATTAATTTGCATAGCAAGGAGAAATTCTTAGGAGTATCTGAAATCCTGACATCTTACGAAGAATCTTTTGTTGTTGACTAAACGTGGAAGAATAAGTGTGATAAAATTCTAACACTTAGTTTCTATACAAAATCAAGCAACTCAAATAAAAACATGCCTGTTTAAATTAAGAAAAATTGTTCAACCATAACCTTTTTTTTTTGTTGCTAATATCATATTTTTAAAGTTAGATTTTAAGGTGTGATATGGCACTTTTCAAAAGATTTAGAGAAATCTGGGAAAAAATTTACAAAACTTTTTACTTAACTAGAAGCAAAGAAGATGCCTGCTCTTTCATTCTTGATTTTCTCATGTATTACCTTTCTGTGAGATGATTATTGGAGTTATTAGTGATCTTTCTTGACATCATTAGAAAAGAGAAACATCATTTCCTATACCAGGTATCGTAAGTCATGCTAGGTGGACGGACAAAGCAATTCATATGCTCAAAATATGTGCAATTATCTAATTGAAAAACTCTTTAAAAGGATTGTATATTTTTCTTTCCAGAATGTGCATTTGAGATTAGTATGTATCAGCAAAGAAATTAAAGCACCTTGTCGTGACTTTCTATTAATGCATAAACTGATAAATTATCAGGATATTGATAAAAAAATCAGTAAAGTTGCTGGTGTATGGGAAAAAAAGAAAAATAAATTTAAATCATCACTGGCATTTGGATCTTCATACTGTGGCTTTAGGCTCACCTTAATTATCTAATAATAGTTAAGACAAATATGACCTAAGCTATGTTGGCAGCAAATATGAAAAGGAAATAAATCATCAAAAGATATACATTTTGCACCAAAATAATTTTCATAGCAAACTTTTTTTTGTAGAGTTTCTTTTTCCTTCTTTTAAATCTTGCTACTAAAACTTTCAAGAGATTTTCTAAACAATATAGGGAGATAATCCTGATTATAAAAGTGGAATGGGAAAACATGAGTGGCAGTTGTAAATGATGCTGCAAAAATTTTATGCAAGAATGCAATAATATTCCCTCAAAAGAGGAAAATGAAAAACAATATATTTAACAGATCGTTGCTGAAGACAGTTACATAATTGATACTAAATCCACTTTTAGAAAAATATTGTTCCATTAGATTCTATATAAATTATTCATTGTGGTTTTCTGGTAAACATCAAGTCCGATTCAAGTAAAAGTTTGTTCAGTCTATTTTTTGTTGTTAGTTGAAACAATATTAATGGTTGAGAATAGCAAAATTTTCATTTTTGGAAAGTAGCATACAGCAAAGTGTCACCTTAGTTTAGTATTTAAGTCTAAATATTGTGCATTAGAGCTGATTCTCTTTAGATTAATTGCTGCTGTGCCCAGAAATTCTTTCAGAACTTTATATAAATATTTTTTTGTTTGATTTCTTATGAAAGTTTTTATAAAAAATTGTATTTGTTCTAGGAAAGAAGAAACACCGCATTCAAAACAAAAATCTAGAATTGATCCCTTAGTTGAAATGAATAAATTCTTGTCAATGAAACAGAAACAATCAGATGGTAAAGTAACATATATACATGAAAAGGTATTTTTTATTTTATTGTTTATTAGATATTTTTCAAAGTATTGTGTCACTCTGTTTGTGTGGTGGATTTTATCTTTGATTCAGCTTAGGTTGAGGTTCAATCCCCAGTGCTAGGGGCCTTTTTGGCCCGCATTTCCCCCAATTGTTTCTCGATGGTTGATAATTCACTCGAATGTAAAGTCTCTGGCAGTTTCAGAGCTGCGAAAGTCTGTGCTCAGTTGAGTGGTTGGAGAGCATGCTACGGAGATGGTGTGATTGCTACCACCAACTGCCTTCTGATCTAAGTTGTTGTAGTGTATTGCTTGTATGTGCCTGTATCCTAGAATCATTATTAAGGATAAATAATATATAACTCTTTTATGGTATTAACAATCATAGCAATTAAAGTATTGCATTTCTTACCTTTTTTATCTTTTTTAATTTTGCCCATGTATAGAATTTTAAACAAATGTATCATTAGTTATATAAAAATAGTTATTAATCCCTTTTCTATTAGTCAGCAACAAAATAATTTAAATATCACTTGAAACTAAAGAAATTTAATCATGTTAATTTTATAAAATGCATTAAACCTGATACGTTTTAAGAAAAATTTTGCATTCCTTTAAATTCAAAACGGAATTAATATACAGTAGAGAACCGATTATCCGGAACGGTCGGGACTATCGCTATTCCGGATAATTGATTTTTCCGGTTTTCTGAATCGCTACAAAAAGCCGTTTTTTTAGTGTTAAACCCAACTAAAAAAAAAAAAAATATTTGGAAATAATCTTAAAAATAAGAAAAAACGATGAGGTAATACACTAATGATTATTTCTGAAATGATGGTAAGGTAAACATCTTTCAAAAAAGAAAGAAAAATCCTAAAATCTTATGAGGTAAAAAAAAACAAATTTTAAAAATTGCGGGAAAATTTATCGAATTTCGTTCCGGTTTTTTGGTTTTCCGGTTTTCTGATTTCCGGATAACGGGTTCCGTACTGTACTTAAAGTAACAGAAAGGCTTATATATCTATCAATCAACTTTAAAATGTTTTTCAGTATGAATTTTACTTTTAAAAAATGTGAAAAATAAAGTTACTATATAAATTAATTTTATTGAAATTTTTGCAGTTATAATAATAAAATGGAAAGCAAAAAAAAACAAAATCAGANAAAAAAAAAAAAAAAAAAAAAAAAATAGGATTTTTAAGAATGTCCATATCTCTATGAGTATTTAAGCTAGTTTTATGAAATTTTATGCATTTGTTGCATATGATAACCAAAGTAATTGATACAAGTCGTAAGCTTATTGCTGTATTTTTTGGCTCAGGACGTTCAAAAACACTATTCATGGCTATATATATCGTAAAAATTTGAACACCGTATGCCAAAAAATATAGCCATAAACTTGTATCACAAATAATTGTTATAATCCTTATTTCTATTATTCATTTACTTAATATACTATAAATGGTTATAATATGCAATAACTGCACAAAATTTCTTAAGCCTACCTTAAATATTCGTGGAAATTTGGACATTTTTATAAAAAAACTAATTTTTCTTGCCTTAAATTTTCGTACTATAATAGCAGAAATATTCAATAAAATTAAACAAACTTTATAGTAATATTGTAATTAATAATAAAAATATAATTTTAAATTTTGAAAGAAATTCATTAACAATTGAAAAAGTTATGAGTATTTAAGTAAGCTTTTTATTCTGTGCATGCAAATAAAACATTAAAATTTTTTTTTTCATACTTTTGTTGTTAATTGTATTTAGTAACTTATGGAAAAAGTCCAATTTGTATATCTTGAAAATTTAAAAAGTTTCTAGAAATTTTGTTAGCAACTTTTGTAATTTTTTATATTCCATAAATTTTATTTTGTATCATATAACAAAATTTAATGACTTATGATAATACCTAAAATAATGGTCCGAACAATGAAATGTGATGGTATTAGAAAAGAAAACGTGTGAAATAAAACATAATTTAATAGGGGTTGGTCTTATGTAATGTTGATGACATTTTTAATAAATCTTGTTTAATAGTGCAAAATGAAATTTATGGAAAATCCTTTAGTGTTCAAAGCTTTCTTTCCAAGTTTACAAAAACTACATAGAAAATTGAATGAAATTTTTTAAATTTTCAAGATAATGCTCATTTCTTGTGCAATTTTTTTAAAATTATATTTTTATTATTAATTAAAAACTATGCTGAAAAGTTTTATTAATTTTATTGAAATTTTTTAAGTTGTAATTATAAAATGGAAAGCAAAAAGAAATAGATTTTATAAGAATGTCCATACCTCTATGAGTATTTAAGCTAGGTTTATGAAATTTTATGTATTTGTTGCATGTGATAACCAAAGTAATTGATACAAGTCATAAGCTTATTGCTGTATTTTTTGATACAGGACGTTCAAAAACACTTTTATTTGTTTGTTATATTTTGACGGTCTCTCAAACCTCTAAAAGCTTTAAATTTAATTGATGTGTATGAGAAATTGTATGACCTAAACATTTCTTAAGTTATAAAATAATTTTATGAGTATTTCTTGAGAAATATGAAAAAAATGTGTTAGTATAGAAGAGTTTTCATAATTTCTTCATTAATGACTTGAAGCATGTAATTATAATTATTTCACAACTCCTTATCAATTTATGTTCATTTCATTTTTTTATAATTCTTGTACTATTCATGGCTGTATATTTCTCTATTTTTAAATTTTCACAATTAAATCATGTCTTTGACCAAAAAGTAACGATTATAACAATAATCTCTGTTTTATCACAATCATTATTAAGTACACTTTACTAGAAATTCAACTATAAAATTAAATCTTTTTTTGTTTGTTTACTTCTAAATTTGTGATATTAAACTTTTCAATATTACTAAATTGCCTAATTCTGTTATATAGTTGATTCAATGACACACAGTAGAATGTTCTAAGCAACATTTTCAAGAATATGAGTAAATCAGCTTTAATGTTTAGACCTTGACAATAGAACACCAAGATCATGCTTTACCTATATTTGTTGTCCGCAAGCCTCCAAGTAGTGAAATCAATAAGTCTCAAAATTCATTTTCATTGCTTACAGATGAAATTAATAAATTCGTAAAATTACATTGAGACTATAGCAAATATTAGAGAGTAATTGTTTGGAAAAGGTTAGTAGACACTGTCTGCGGTTGTGGCAGAGGCACTTTTAAGTTTACTTGTGATATGTTTTTAAAACCAATGATCTAACTGAAGTGGTGCATAGGTGGAATGTTTTAGATACAGTTTTGAAAGTTATGTTTGGAAACTGAAAATACCAGGTATCTTCCGACTGAATGGCTATACTTATAGGTCTCCATTAGATCAAAGGGAAAATGCAGGTGCCAGAATATTTTCAGAAATGCTTACACTTTATTAAAATCTAAGACCAAATACAACACCGTTTAAAGGCGTGGAAAACTTCAATAATGCCGTTATAGTGCCTGATTGCAGCAATTCAAGCAGCTGCAAACTTTGATGAGCCAGTATCTCTGAGACTTAAAAGTTGTAAGGAAAAACCTAAGGCCATTGACTATGGAAACTTGTTAGCTGTTTATTGCAAATGCACTTGGAATCTTCTTCCACTCCAAAATAGTCAAAGTCTGCCACTCATTATTTTTTCTCTCACTATATTGGAAAAATAGACAAATTTGAGAAAATAAATCATACTGATATAAGTTACCTCAAATTTTTCAATATTGTCACTTAAAACCTTCTACCCCACATCACCTAATCATAGCTGAGCACCTAGTTCCAATTTTAGGGCTCTATGTTATAACAGCCATAGCAGGAATGCTTCGTAATTTTGACCCTGAATAGATGATGTAGACATCGCCAAAGATGGTTCCCTTATTTTCAAATTTTCATGCCACAATAAACAGGAGCTGTGACAGAGTGCATCTTGTTCCTTATGCCTGCCTGTTGCTTTGCTGGCTACCAGGATTACAGTCCCTTACTCCCAGTTCTCCAACCAGCAGTATGAGCAACGCATTAGCCGACTGTCCCATCTGAGCCCGAGAACTTTTTTCCATTAAATTCTTCAGTTATTCCAATTAAAATATATAAAAAAGTTTCTGAATAAATTATCATTTATTTTGAGTAAAATGTTTATATTGATGTAGATAATAATGTAATACAGATTTGTAATTAATTTCTTATCAATATTTTAATTAGGAGAAATCAAATACCAGTAATAATTCAAGCAAAAATGAGTCACCTCCCAAGAAGCTCTCCAAAATAGAAGAGCTTAGAGCAAAACGTCTGAAAAGAGAAGCAGAAGAGAAAAGAAAGTCACAACAATTTTTGGAACACCTTAGTAAAGGTACCTCTAAAACAGATGAAGTCATTCTTGATGATAGAGCTAGAAAATACAACTCCCAATTTAATCCTCATCTAGCCAGAAATAATTTGTATACCAGAGAATATTAATGAATACAAAGAACATTCATTATTTGTATAATTTGTACATGTCTGATGTAAATATTTGAGATCAATATATTTTTATTGTACCATGTTTTTAGAGCTCTTTTACTTAGAGTTGCGCAGTAGTATTGTGGTATCTAGTTTTTATTTAGATTTGTATTTTAACAATAGAGAAATTAAAGAAACTAAATTGACTCTGTAAAAATTTCAAACTTTTGAAAAATCTGTAAATCTCGATATTTCCTCTTTTTTTATAGTTGTACATGCGTAATAAAGAGAAGTCATAAAATTAATCAGAATGTATCGTTTTGTAAAGGAACAATTTTGAACTATTCCGGTAAATTACTTTTGACTACTTTTACAAGAATGGTTTAGAGTTCTTAGATTTTTTTTGTGAAACTTGTGAGGTTCTTGTTTTGTATTTACACACTAGGTTGTTATACACTTTATTTTATTTGTAGACACTTACAGTATTTATCTTCTTCAGGTAAATACTTGTAACACCACATAGGGTAAATATAACACCTAGGCAATGGCAATATTTTGTCAATGCCAAAAAAGAATTTATTGGCATAAAATACTGTGGTACAGAATTTTAATAAACTGACTCTACTTTAAACCAAATATTTCAAATACCACTTAAATATTTTAATTACTGTATCATTTCTTCGTGTAGAGATAACCAGTTAAAACTGCATGTGGATAATCTCACTTAAATTATTATGGTACAACATATTGAAAATAAAGTAATTGACGCAATTTGCTTAAAACTGAGATTACTGTTGATAAAATACTGATACTATTTAAGAATTGTATTTCTTGTACATTTCGTACCACCTAGATTTTATCATAGAATCAGACTAATAAAACCACTTGTGGCAGAGGTTTACTGTGTATAAAAATAAATAAAAAATCACACATGAGAATCCATGTGTTACTGTTACCCATCCAAGTATAACTTAGCTTTTTTTTAACATCTTTTAGCCTGTTGAAGTTAGCCAGATGATCCTCCTTCACCCTGAATTTTCAATAAAATTTAATCAGCACATTAAAACCCTGAAACACACATGTGATGTAAACAACGCATTAACAAAAAAAGTTGTTATTTTTTTTATGGTTACCTACTATTTAAGCTTTGGAAAAATACTGTGTTTGTATTTCAGATCAAAATCTAAATATTTTTATTGTCAGTATATGGTAGTAAACAAACTATCTTGTTTCTTCAAAATAAATTCTAAAAATGATAAAGTATTGATGCCACTCATTAGTTTTTGAAAGAGGAACATTCACGCTAAATTTTCTTTAATGAACAATTGTGTTGTGAAATTTAACTTGTTAATTCAAAAAGATTACCTTAAATAAATGAATAAACTATTTACTTATGTGTAAGCAGAATTAGCACACAACAACTATTTCAACTAGTAAATGCCAAATTTTAAAAACACTGAAAAGAAAATGTTTTAAAAAAGAATTATGAGTTTTGATCTGAAATTCATGCAATATTTATCTATTTAATTATCAGTATTTAGTTTTATCCCCTCGTAATTTAATAATATGGGTAGCGAGTAAACATTTTATTTAGTTTCAGAAAATTAGCTTTAGAAAAGACATCTTTTAACATTTAAACTAGCTTTATTTAAAATATTGTAAAAATACATATGTTTTCTAAATTAGACTGGAAATTTTGAAAAATTAATAACAGAAAAACAGCTAAGGTTAAAAAAAATAAAGCAGCTCTTCTAGCAAATTCATGCAAGACGGTATAATTTTTTTCCTCTAGAGCTACTAGATTTTTTTATTTATTTATTTAATAATTTTTTTTTTGACAAATAAGGCTGCAACAATGTAAATGTACAAGTCAAAGAAAAATAATTGAAAATTAAAATATTTTCAAAATATCGATCATCAACCGTAATTTTCGCGTTCTAATGCAATTTTACATTATTTTTCTTTGGTTTATAAGTTTACTATCTGCAACGCCATCTCTTAAAAAAAATTTGAACTCAAAATAGAATTTCTAAATACTAAATGTTATGCCCTGTCACACAAATTTGCTGCAAGAATTTAACAGTTTAACCTTAACAGTTTTCCTGTAATAAATTTTTCGAAACTATCATTTTAATTTAGACCACTAAGTTAATATTCTATATTTAGAACTTATCGTAATGTGTTCTGAATTTCGAGTATTTCCGAAATCTCACCAACATGTTCTTTGTCCCCTTATGGCTCTTTCATTCTAAAGAATGCAATTTTATACTTTAAAGCTGGGCAGTCCATTTTGAAATTTATAAGAATGAGTTAGATCCAATGAGCCACATTACATACATGGAGTTCTGTAAGTAGCTCCCTTAATGAATATTTTTAGAATCCTCATCAAAAATAAGGTTACAAACTATTCGCGTTGGAGAACCCTGGTAAATATTTGAGCAAAAGATAAAAAACGCTTTCGAAATCTTAATAATCACTATTGACAAGGGTAGTTCTTAAAACAACTAAATCGGTTCAATTGTCCGAGAAAACAGGAGATGACTTCTCCTGTTTATGCAGCAATAAAACAGGTTTTGACATTTTTTTTTCATAGCTTTAATTCGTCAAATTTCAATGGTGTTCCTATTTAAATTTAGCTTCCTGAAGCATATATATTAAGCAAATATATGAGCATATATATTAAGCAAATCAACTGTTTAATGTGGACCATCCATAAATATTGGCAGGTTGTTAGGTCACCAATTAGGGGCACCAATTAGGGGAATTAATTATCAACTATGTCAACCTTCATCTATCAAAAGGTACCTCAAAATAGAATCAAGGTAACATGTTTTATATACTAGTGATTTGGTATTTAATATTTATAGTGGTAGGGTAAACTAACCAGTGACGGAACACTTAAGCTTCGCTTGCCTTTTAAAAAATCAAAATTCGTAATTTTAGTTAAATGACAGTGTCAACATGTTTGTTACTAATTGCAAAGTATGTAAAAAATTGTAGAGAACTTACAAAATATTGTTTTAAAGTTTTGGAGGTTCAAATAACAAGTAGTAAGAAGACCCAGTGAAGGAACAGCTCTTACCAGTGAATGAACACCCAGTAAAGGAACACTTAACTTTGGTTATTTTTTAATGCTCTTTATGAATTTATAAGCCATACAAATATTTAAAAACAAGCCTATTCTTGAAATTATAACATATAAATACTTGGAAAATGTTAACTTTTTTTTGTAATCATGAATTGAAAATTAAAGTGTCAACATATTAACACATACTGTTCATTCACTGGGAAATCTATGCCCAGTAAAGGAACATGCCTGTTCCCTCACTGGTTAGAAGTTGTTTTTCGTATTTTTAACATACTTTTGATGCGGAACATCACTAAAGGTACAAGAAAATTAAAGTTTATCTTTTATTTTCATTAACTTAGAAAAAAAAACAGTAAAGGAACACTTGTTCCTTCACTGGTTTTTCATCGTTTGGTGATCCAGTGAATAAACACCCCCTTATCTCAGTACTTTATTATGCTATGATGCTTAAAAAAAATAAAACGTAACTTCAATAACTATATTTTGAATTCTCTTTTTCACAGTGAGAAAAATAAAACTATTACATGCAATTAATTCCACTTCAAACATATAAATACAAACACTCACCTTATAATTTTTTCAAAGAAACAAGGTGTTGCAGAGATAATAACAAATTCAAAAATTTTTCCAGAGAAGTCTATTTGACCAGGTAATCCAAAACATTGCTAGATGACTTCCTATTGTTTGGCAGTAAGCTATTGTTACCAATCAATCTAAAGAAAAACTTTCAAATTCTTATTTTTGATCAATATACATGAAATGTTCCTTCACTGGGTAGTGTTCCTTCACTGGTTGGTTTACCCTAGTTACGCCACAATATAAATTATGAAATCTGGCAAAAAAAAAGAGAAAAAAAACACTTTCCTTGATTTTACATTTCCCCCCGACATTTTTGGCTGTTATTGTTGTTAATTTACGTCGCACTAGAGCTGCACAATGGGCTATTGGCGACGGTCTGGGAAACATCCCGGAGGATGATCCGAAGACATGCCATCACAATTTTGATCCTCTGCTGAGGGGATGGCACCCCCGCTTCGATAGCCCGACGACCTGCGCGCGAAGTCGAGCACTTTACGGTCGCACAGTTTAACGAGGAATAATACCGCACACCCTCGTTCCCTACGCAGACTGATCCAAGTGGTAACCCACCCGCACAATGACCGTAGCCAGTGATGCTTGACTTCGGTGATCTTCTGGGAACCGTGTCTTAACGATCAGTCCACTGTGGGACCCGACATTTTTGGATTTTTTACTATTAGAATACGGGACACAATCTAAAAAATATGATCGTATTAATTTAGTCGGCAAAGTGGTCGGTAGGTAAAGATCCTTAATCTTCATTTAGCTTTTTCCGTATTTCGAGCTATCTCGTCACTACACTAATTAAAGAAAGCAAGAACTTTTAAACACAATCATAAAATCCATTTAATCGATCTAAGCAAAATAAATCTTTTTTACTAATTGCTTTTTATTATCTTACTTAATTGTGGTTGGAAAAATCCAAATAGTAAGTTTTTTAAGTTTATACAGTGTAATTTCTTACCATATATAAAAATCTAATGACGGTGTCTTCTTTTCTTGTTTTGGTTGTCATCAGCATACATTTAATAAAAGTCAAAAAGGTATTGTTTTTCTGTAAATATTTTTGTATCCATAATTTAAAGTTATTTTCGTATAAAGCTGCTATTATTACGCTTCTAATGTTTAAAACTATGCGAATTGTTGTTTTTGTTTATTATTATTATAATGTAATTCAGGGCAACATTTTAAGATAAAATTATTTTGAAAGGTGGTCTAATCTTTTTTAACCGCTTTACAATTATTATTTTCATGCAAATAACATTAATATACTGTTATAAATTACAGTTAAAAAGATCTGTTAAATGATTTCGAAAAAAATTTTGTAAATTTAATTTATAGCTTTGAGAGTGTATGCAAAATGAAAAAAAGATTTTCAAACTGTTAATTTGTCTCTAAAATAGCTGAAGAAATGATTATGCGCCCTTCCCAGCGAATC